ATAAGTTAGACAGCTTGTCACAATAATTCATTAAAAAGTTTTAAAAAACTACTAATTAATATTATCTATGCTTAAAAAACTGTTAGACTTTAAATAAAATTGCTTGCAAATAACAAAAAAATATTTTCCTTTTATAGGCAGTGTGATAGTTCCACCATCCATCAGGTCTAGCGATGGTCCTTATGGTCCCTGGGTCACGTGACTGAGTATGTGACGGATCGGACGACAGGTTGATCCATGCCCTAGTGGGTCTGCTAGGAGACGACTGCCCACATCTAGCTGCCCACTAATTTGGGTGTGACATACGTCACCAAAGGGACCCACTGTAAGTGGGTGCCCTGGCCAATCAGAGTACAGCTAAATAGATAAGATAAGGGAGCGGCCACTATATAATAGGTGCAGTCCTCCCACTTAGCTAGATAGCTAACCCATGCACAACAACATATTTGCCCCCCATACTTGCTCATTTCAGGGTGCATCTTTAGATCTTTCTTTTCCTTCAACCAGAGTTTATTATACGTTAATAGTCAAAAAGGGTCCTTGTATCCTTCTAATACATTTACAAAATCGTGACACGCAGACGCAAAATAAAATAAAACCCCAGTTTAAAGCGATCTTTTTAATATTAAATAGCTATAAGAGCCATATTTTTATACGTATATAGTTTTTTATTTTTATTTTTTAAAATCCTTTTATTTAACATAGTTTAATGCGTATTAATAAAACGAATTTATAACTATAATGTAGCTGATGAGCGAGTTGACATTACAAGCGAGTTGGCATTTGTCATGAACTCTCAAACTGCTATATCAAATAATTCCCCATAACGCGTTCAATTCAATTCAATCAATTAGATTCCTCTTTCTCAGAGGTTTCTATCTCTATTGTACAAGTTTGCGTATTATGGCCAGTATTCCCGCAAATGCCAGACCGTCGGTCACGCGCTGCCGTCCCCCTTAGATGACGACTACTGAAGCGAGCGAGTATGAGTGTCAAATATGTTGTTGTGCGTGGGTTGGTTATCTAGCTAGCTAGGTGAGGGCTGCCACTATATATAGTAGCAGTCCCTCCTTATCTTATCTATCTAGTCGCACTCTGATTGGCCAAGGCACCCACTTACAGTGAGTCTCTGCGTTGATGTGTGTCAACTACCTTTACTCTTTTCCTGTCTTACCAACTTAGTACCATTTTTTATAGCCTGAAGATCTATTATATTTTTAATAGAAATTATTCCGTTTTTTATCAGACGTTTGTTTTTTGTTCTCTAACATTTATGTAGTAAGTGATTGGCCTCCTCTAGCTCGCAGACCCGGAAATCAACCAAAGTGACCTTGTGCATAAGAGCGTGTATAGCCTTTAAAAACGAGCTCAATACATCAATTATTGATGTAGGTGAGCTTCTCTGGTGGTTTCTGACTCAATTTTGGATATAAACCGATTGGTTTAACACTTTGTTAATGGTGGTAGGCGTCTTTGAAGTCCAAGTAGTGGGTAGCAGATTGGGGTTTAGTGACGGTGTTCGTACGATAGCAATAACATCCAGCTGTATTGCGTTGTGCAATAGGTGTCAATTGATGTGTGAGGCGGGGTTGGGTTGCAAGGACTAAGATGGGAAAGATTGCAGCTACTTAAGGTAACTGCAATCCCTATCTTAGTGCAGCCCTTATCTAACTAGTCTAGCCCTAGCTATCTAGGTCCGCACATACAATGAGTAACCCACACACATACCAGTGGCTGTGTTAATGACTGTGTCTGTGCCAGCCACATTGACTACTCCCCCTGATGACGCGTATCAAGCTGAAATAACACTTTCTGAGTCAAAAGGAACAAGGCCAGTGACACTAAAACCTGCTCAAATGTTTTCCAATGTCATGACAGCGTTGTGTGCTTCATAAAACGTTGCGAGAAAGTCCTCCTTTGAAATATGGGTTATATGACGCCGGATAAGATCCTTAATTAGGCGACTATAAGCTCGTTTGGGCAGGCTAAAACAACCAACATCTAAAGGCTGGAACCTATGTGACGAATGGACAGGCATATAAAGAGTAATAATACTATTGTTCTGGCAATAATTCTCAAAGACCTGGGAATAGTGGCTTTCATGACTATTTAGGATGAGAAGGCGTTTACCAGCAGTTATACATGATCTGGTATACTTGTCGAAATGCTGAATCTATTTCAAACCGATCTCATTTGTAGTCTATCCATTGTTAGACACGGCCACCTTCCAATTACGTGGTAATGTCGTGTTGCAATATTATAACGCAAAATGGGTTTTGCCCTGTAGAATGATGAACGGCGGGACCACCCAACTATCAATATTAATAACAGAGATTGCTGTAGACCATTCTCTGTTACTTTGCTGAGCTTGTTTAGACCTGCTATGTCTTTTGGCACTTATAATAACTATGCCGGACCCAATAATGCCCATCATAAACCCAGTCTCGTCAAAGTTATAAATATCCGCGTCTTAGATACTATGTTTCATAATTGCCGCACCAACTTGGCAAAATCACGCACAATACGTGTCTGGATCTTCGTTTAAGACCCTCTAATAGTCCATCCTCTGATGAAAATGCGTCCAGAGGCCTGGTGTGCGTTTAATGAAGTTCCGCATTTACTTCTTTCCAACACGTCCAGCCCCATGTGCCGCCAACTATTAAATAGAAGCCAGAAATAGACACCAGAAGATCTCCAATAGGGCAGTGACGCACAGGGCATCTGACCCACCAAGAAGACAGATGATCAATCTCTGTATGCTGAAGAAGCAGGGCAGAACAACAACAACAACAGAACACACTTGACAACCTGAATAATCTGAACTCGCTTGTATCTAACACTAACAATTGATTTACTATATCTTCAACATTTACTGTGCCGGGGTGGAAATGCCCATACATCCTAGTCGAGAATGAAGGAAAGGATAGCATTCTATTCGGAAACCGTAAGTTTCAAAGTATTAGACATGCTGTCACGTCGTGATGGCATTCCTTTGATTCTATTGCTCAAAGTGGAACGAGGGATATTAAAGAGTTTTGTAAGCTGAAATATAGAAATATGAGGGTCACGTCATTTAGCTTGGACAGCTAGCTGTAAGTCTGATTTGTTATAACGCGGTGCCATTGTTATTGATAGAGATATAATGGTTTGAATCGTGTTGGTTAGACAGTTCATGACGAGTGCCAACTCGCTTGTAATATCAACTTGCTTGTCAGCTATGTTATATTATTTTAATAATAGCTTATTTTATTTCCTTCTTACGTATATCAATTACGGTATATAACCTTTAAATAATGGGCTTTATAATGCTTTAAAAGTTACTAATAAAAACTGTTTTCTAAGTTAAATTCTTTAATAAATGTCTCGCTTATTAATAAAATTAACTTTATTTGTTATTATAACAAGTAAAAACTTTTACTTTTAATAAACAAAACATGTTTTCAGGCTTTAAAGTTATTAGATGTTTTTTTATTAGCTATAAAAACTGCACATAACATAAAAAAGAGACCTTTAAGTTAATGTTTTTAAAAAGCTTTAAATTAAAGAACTAATAAACCCTGCATATAAGCTGCTAGATTATAAACTTCAGTAAAAATAAATCCTCAAGGACTAAGTTAGTAAAAGTATTAAAACCACATTTAAAGTTAAAAAACCGAAATTATTATTAAAAATAAAAAGATTAAGGCTTTAAAGGTTAGATTAAAGCAATTGTAATTAAAAAGGCGCTGAGAAATTTCTAATCTTAATAACAAGTCTAAAACGGTAATAAAAATACTATCTTATAAAAGTACTATTAGTGACACACGTCACCAGGGGTGGTAGATGTGGTGGCTGGAGAGACCTATTGTAACTAGCTAAATAGATTAGATCTGTGTGCTGGCCCTGGCGGCGGCCCTCTTTCATGGAGCAGGCAAGTGGTGAAAGGGGGGGGAGTGTCTTGTTGCTTACAAGTTCACTCATTATATCGGAAGCTGGTTGATGCGGCCAAATAGCGGGACACCTTGGTTGGGGGACCTCGGGAATCAGGGGGGTTAAGGTGGGCTGCGAGGGTTTATATAGCGGGCTATGCGATGACGAATACCAGCTAGGGTAGGGCTGACAGGAATCCACCCTTGTATAGTACATGGGCAGGCCCACATCAATAAATGAGACAGCCACAACGAGCCACAGCACCTTGAATAAGTGCGATTTCTACCAGCCGACTGTAATAAGACATAACTCGGTTGTAATAAATCTGATAAATTCGTAAGTCGACAAGAATCTTCATTAATCAATTCTTTATTGTCGGCCTTTTTTCGTTTATTTTCAGGTGTTTTATTCGTGTGTTGGTCGTGTAAGGAAGTAGGCGAGTTCTGGTGGGAACTTGCGGTGGTCTCATTTATTGTTGTGGTTGCCTGATGGGATACCTGCACAGATCGATACATCATATTGCTCCACATAGGCACTCTAATCAAACCTCGAATCTTTGACTCAGAACTTCCTCCTGAGGAAGAGTACAGAGTACCTTGAGCGACGAGATTGCCAGAGCCGATCAGGTATAAGCCACTTGATAGATGACCAGTAAGCCTCTGTACACCCCAATCGCATTCGCACCTAGGTGTCACTCAAGCAATAAGTTAATTAAGTTGATACATTGAATCCTCACAAATCTCCGCACACCACGTCCAGCAAACAACGGTATATTTATCGTGATTGGAATAAGCACGCTGGCATCAGCTTTAAAAATAGCGTATAGCATTAAAGCTGCTTATTCCGTTACTTTAATTCTTTACGGGTGATATCAACATGCGCGTACGAAGACTTATGAGGGCCGAGTGTAGAGATCTAAAACGAGTGTGTATTGAGATTCTAACCGCTTGTGTGGGTAGAACGGCGAAGAGGGAGTCCCTCCAAACCCTCTAATAATGAGTGAATCCTGTCAAGCCTTCTAATAGTGAATGAATCCCCCCAAGTTCTCTAATAATACAGTGTATGAGTACAGGTTCTCACATCCTCTCGACTTAGTACGAGCAGGTGTAGCCATTGGTACCGGTCTGGTAGCAGTTGATGCAAGAAGCACCGCCATAGTCAATGCATGTGGTAGTGTCGCCATCCGGGCAGTTCGCCTGGGTGCACCCGTCCCTAGCGAACAGATTGCGACCCGGGGGGTTGGGGCTGGTGCCTCGTCGCTGACGTTTGTCCGAGTTCATGGCCCACTCGTCGAATTCTGCCTCGTTGGAGTCGTCGATGTCGGTGTCGTAGACGGGCTTGTTGCCATCCTTATGGTCGTGGATCGTGACCTTGTTGTTGGCAATGGAAATCCAGCAGTTGCCGCTTTTGCAGTGCTTCATGGCCTTGTTGCCCGCCTTCTGCTAGCCCTGCTCGCCGTGCGTGCCAAAGGCGAGGGAGGAAGAAGCCGCAAAGGCTGCGATGAGAACGGCGACGAAAGAGGTCTTCATTTTGGAGGTGATGGGGCTGTTGATGTTTGTTGTAGATGTATTCGCGTGTTCTTGGGTAGGTACTGTGGGTGGTAATTGTTGTTGCTTTTGCTGTGGACTGATGATGGTAATGGTGATGATGATGAGAGAGAGAGAAAGCTGTTCAATCTCTGGAACTCGTCGGACACTTATACCCAGTGACTGGGTGCTCAAGCTGCCGCTGGAAGTTCCGGACTCAACATTGTTGTCGACGTATTCCATCATAGCATGACCAAAATAGATCTCGCAGGCAGAAGCTGTACATCCGGTCAGAATAGGGGCAAGATGATGACTGAGTGCTCAAGCAGCCGCTGAAAGTTCCGGGACTCAACGATGTTCTCGACATATTTCGTCATATCGTGACCAGAATAGAGCAGGAATGAAGCTGCCTAGCGTATTGACTCATTACAATGGACTTCGGTGATGTCCGCCATCGTCTAAAGACGATTGTTCCGCCCAAGAGGCAAGATACTCGTCATTATCACAGGGTAGACGTGCCGGGCGGAAAGAGGGGGCAAACTATGACGAGAGATATCCTAATAATACACATGCCCTCGATATTTTGTAGTGTCCAACGGCCATTGCGCTGGCACAAGTGTAAGGTTCCGTTGCGTCGTAGGCCTGCCTGGAAGAGAAAGGGAGGATGATCCGACATGGGAGGGAATCAAGGGATGATCATACACATGCTCTCGAGTTTCTGTAGTGTCCAATGGCAATGGAGGTGCTGACAAGAAAAGCTCCGTTATGTCGTAGGCATGCTTAGGAAGACATAGAGGCTGGTCATGACGAGGGAGGTCATAATAATAGGGAGGTCATAATAATAGGGAGGTCATAATAATAGGGAGGTCATAATAATAGGGAGGTCATAATAATAGGTCTGATTGATTGGTTTATAATATGTAACGGCTAAAGTAACGGCGCTTGGCAGCAGCATCCTTTAGCACTCCTCATGGTGCATAGGGCGGTGGTAAGGTGTCTGTCACATCCATCAATGCTATGTATAGTGGGTGATACCAGTGTCCTACCTCGAGGGCTGCCAATTTCATGACGCCAGGTCGCTCCTTGTAGGACCATCGGTCCTTTTGCTTTCGTGTTCCTGGATAATAATAACAGGTCTGCCCTCATTCTGCGGACGCCGCACACCGGAACCGTCAATGCGGACGTAGCGAGTTTCTTGTACTACACTACGCGTCCTACTTCTTGAACAGTGGCCAGGTCAATGACAGGCCTAGTCACAAGGGTCAGAGGTCACTTCAGGGTACGATTTATGCCATCCTCTTCAGACTTTGGTACCTTGATGGAGTCGGGCCTTGGCGTCAGTTCCACCCCGAGTGTATACTAAAACAGGGGAGGTGGTGTATCAGTTTGGCCCATAGGCTGTTTATTTTTAGGTGGGCCTATAGGATTCTCATGGTTATGTCAATTCTAGAGCCATCTGCGAGCCAGGTCTGGTCGATCGGATCTCTGACCCCTGGCTAAGGCTGACGGATTGGCGGCAGGGGGGCAGCTATGAAGGAATGCCGAGGTATAAGGTCCTCAGCCCTATACAGGGCAGACAGTGTGTGAGGGCCTTATCTATGTACAGGACGCTTCGCTACCTAGTTATACAGCTCGCAACAATGCATTCCGTACACCACAAAAGCCGGGTGTTTAACGGGAACTAAGCCTACTCAACCCCAGACCCAACAAACAGCTTGGCTACACGGGAGGCATTAATACGAAAGGCACCTATACGGAAGACACATGGAGGCGTTTGCAGGGATTCGGCCATGATCCTGCAAAGGGACGGGCTTCGACGGCACTGTCCGCTCCAGCCGCAGGGCACCGTCGATGCTCGATAGTACCGGCATTTCACTCACTTGCTTACCTACGTGTAGTAAGTTACGTTACTGGCTTTGATGCAGTCGCAGTTGCTATGTTCATGACGAGATCATCAACGTCGGCATGCATTACGAAAATCTGGGTTTTGTGCCATGGTTTACTCATTCCATCGTCCACCAGGCCATAGGCACCCAACTACCTGCGCTGGTCTATGCAAGCGTCTAGAGAATGTCCCAACTCCTTTATCCCAACAGCGGAACATTGCCTCCAGGCAAGGTGAAGTTTCCACCCAGATCCGACAACCAAGCAAGCCCGTTGAACTCGGCATCGATCCCTGTAATCAGCCACGAATTGCCCGCGTCGTTTCTCCGCAGACTCAGCACACTGATACCCCTGATCCGTTCCATGGCCTCACCGAAGGAGGCCGTCAGGATCAGTGTCATACTGGTGCAGGCCACCGCTTGGACCTTCTGGATGGTCACGGGCTGAGGAGGCGTGATGCGCTGGTAGGCCATGAACTCGTCGCGGTTCTTGAAGAGCGGCTCGCCGGTCGGTCGGCCTAGGAGGATGCTCATCGTCTCGTCCCACTGTCGTATCGCACTTGTGTTATTGGCTATGGCTTTCTACATCTCCTACGAAAAGGTTCTGACAGGTTGTGGGGTGACGGGGCAGAGTGATGAATCCTGGTTGGAGTTTCTTACATCGTACATCTCAAGCGCACAGAACGAATTGCACAGGGAGTCGTTGTACTGGGATATCAGACCCTGGTACACTCCCGTGATCAAGGCGACGTCGGTGTCCGTCAGGCAGTCCGCTTGTTCGCTTCTGGTTGCTGGATGGCCCATGGTGTCACCCATGGCGTAGCCCATGAGGATGATGCCTGTGGCGAGGATGTTGGTGAGGCGGGAGAACATCGTGTCTGCGGCGGCAAGGGTTAGCTTTAGGTAAAGAAGTCTTCTGGTGGTGCGTAGGCGGTAGGCGAATGGCTGAAGAAAGGAGGCTGGAAGGGTAACTGCTTGAGTTTGGGTAAGTGCCCTGACTATATGCTTTCCTGTGAACTGGAAGACAATGCCGCTGTACTTATACAAAGTACAATGCGAATGCTTGCGGTCGACTTCATTAGCTAGGCGCGGCTCACCGATCTCGCTAGGTGATGGGACGGTGATACTTCGTGCTAGCTGTTGGGATGGAGATATTTCGGGCTAGCTGATGATATGTGATACACTGTGCTATATGTCGAGCTGATGATGTTTAGTTGAGTGGACAATTGGTATAGAGCCCGGTTCTAGTGGTAACAATATCCTCCTGGCACATTGGGCACAGTGCCGGTTGGAATCAGGAGGTGCGAGGTCCCAATGAACACTCCATCCCATGAATCTCAGCAGGATGTTTCTTACACTGAGTCACCAGAGACTTGGGTTCGTTTGGAGGGTTTCTTTCAAGGGGCCGTGTTGTCCAGTCTGCAGGTGCAGTTTGTGAATCAGCGGTATAGCAGGCCATCTCATTTTTGATCGCCACCTAAGCTCCGAACCATGCACCAAGTCTTCGGGTGATCAAAGCTTTGGAAGGGCACAATACGGGCACAGCAGCAATGCGGAGGGGAAAACCCGGACACAGCAGCGATCTAGTAGGGAGCAGTACGGTACACAGCAAGCCAAGCCCCCCATCATGATGAGGGGACGCGAAACCATCCAGGGCCAACATCCCATATCTAACCCCGATAGAATCACCACTCCCAACGGCCGAGATCCTGTGACTGGATGTCACTGGCATCAAGTCACCGTACCCATTCACCAGGAGCCAACATGATATAAACTCGACAGAGCGTGGGAAGGCCGCGTCACGTTTGGTTGTGCTGGGAGGTGAAAACACTGATTTGGAGCTGGGAGAGCCGCCGAACTGGTCCGCCACGGTGAATTATCCGATGCACGCACCCTAACTACGTGCCGTAAGACTCAGGACATGCTGAATTGTGGAGCGTTTCAGAGTCAAGGCAATGCAGCGAGATCAGTGCCATCGTCGACGGAAAAGTTCGAGAGTAGCGTACACTGTAATGATGCCGCCGGCGACGTCCACGGCGACCTGGCCTTCATACCCATCTCTTGCGACGATATCCGCACCATAGAGCGAGTTTATTGAAGCTTCCATCGCCTAACGAACCCGCCCTTATAACGAATGACTTGCTTGGATTTCCGAGATACCTATACGCCGTAAATTTTTGTTCACGGACCACTACCGATAGTCTGTGCTTGTAGGGCTGCATTTGGCGAGGCTGGGTGGAATAGTCAATGTGTGCAGAAAGCCAATGAGCTAGCTATGCGACGTAGGCCACCCATAGCACGGCCAATCGCGAGTTGACGAGGGCAACAGTCAAGATCGGTTCGCGCGAGGCTCTGGAGCCTGCCTCAGTATTGAGCTTGATGGGTTGATGGCGATGACGAGAGGGCAGGAGTGATGATATCTTGAAGCTGCGGGTTGCTCAACGAAATCTGGCTAAGAGTCTCAACAAACTCATGACCTTCCCCGAACGAAGCTCATCTGGTACCAGATAGTCGAGTGCAGAGCCTTTCAGCATGCTGTTTATGCCACGATCTCCCTGCCGCCGCCGCTCTCCTGCACCTGTTCCTGTTTTGCTGCCGCCGCTTCCGCCTTGGCACGTTTCTTACGAGCCCTGCGGACTTCGATCTCGACCTGGGCCATCTGAGCGTTGACAGAGACCAGCTTGGGGATGATCTCCTCGATGGCCTGCACGCTCTGAGCTTGCGCTTGTCGTAGAGGCGTGGGAGTGAAAAGTCCGAACCACTTCAACGGATCCCTGCGCTTCTTCGGAGCAGTTTTGACCTCCTCTGCCTCCTGCTTCTTACTTCCATCAGCGGCATCGTCAACGTGCTTGCTCTCCGTTTCGCTGTCCTCCACTGTTGGTTCAGGAGTGACCTGCACTTCGGTCTCCGAATCCTCCCCCTTGATAGCGAAGCTGGGGGCACCCTGGTCGTCGTCCGTAGTGATGGCCAATCGTCTGGAAGCTTGCATCCGCTCATCGTAGTAGTCTTGGCCAAATCGCATCCCTCGCTCGGCGGCGAAGTTTGCTCGAGCGATGTTTTGGTAGATGCCGGTTTGTAGGGAGCTGAGCTGTTCTCTCAGGGAGGCGTACTCATGCAGCAGGAGCAAGTACCGTTCCAGGAAGGTGTCGATATGTTCGGTATCCATTATGAGTAGCTGCTGCTATCGAGCTTCCCTTGGCTGTCGCTTCTGTTCATCGGGTGTCCTGGAGTGGTCGACAGTTTCGGTGTATGATTCGGTGTGTGAACAGACGTTGATCTCGTTCGTCTGCGCCATGTCTGTTCAGCCACTGTGGCGCGACCGACCTTGACATCTCCGGTAAATGAATATTCAGATACACGATATCTGCAATCTCAAACTCCACGGAGGCCCGTGTGGCGGTGTGGTTGGTTCCATCGCCAACACAACACAACATGCCATACCCGGACTGTAATCACAACTTGTAGGGGTATTCAGGGGCAGAAGCCTGATGAGCACGGCAGATTTCATGGCTCGGATCGGGATCTGAATCTGAACCGAGCGGTCGGGAAAGCGACAGGCTCCCCAAGGGGCGCTGCTCACCTCGGAACAGCCTCCCTAAACCTCCGTTTCAGGCTCGTCAGGATTCTGTTTGCCTGTCTCGAAGAAATGCCTTCTCTGCCTCCCACACCGCCAGCAAGTCGATCCCGACAGCGAACCGGCAATACTCACCGGTTGATCATTGCCTGATAAGTATCGGCTCTGACAATGAAGACAACTGCAGGATGCATGGCCGGCTGCTGGGCTGGTCGTCGAGTACCGGCATCGCAAAATACGAATGAGGTGCATGACCCCCGGCCACGGCATCGCACCCACGTTCCTGTGTCAGCCACGACATGTGCTACGATCGGTGCCATGATGACCGATATCTTATATACAACGCCCGAGTTGCCTGACCATTCCCTTGCAGCCCGCCTCGCTGTGGCATATGGTCGAGGCTGTGTGATATGGAGCTGCAGATAGCCTTCTCGATGTCTCAACATGACACAAGCTCCAGCACACGAATGCACGTAGCCCGACGCCTTTCTCCGAATGCTCTTTACACGAGCTCACACGTACGAGCGATCAGATGCACCAGATGCACCAGATGCACCAGATGTAGCACGGCCGACGATGACGAGCGAGACTTGCTTACCCTTGGACCTTGGCTGCTGAAATCTGCCTTGCCTCGCCTTGCCTTGCTGCAAGCCTCGTTCCGCAGCTAGATTGCACGCATCAGACCACCGACGAATACGACACGGCTGTTGGTCGCGCAGCTGCGGGCCTCATGCAGGAAACCGCTGCTCGATATATCTCAGCAAGCTGTCGAGCCAGGACTTCCGCTCCCTTTGACCCGGCTGCGCGCATCGATGCAGAGAAGAAGAGTATCGTCTCTAGCCTGAACTGCGATTTCCTAAGAAGAAAGATTCTCAGGGCGCCACTGAGGCGGCTGCAGTAGTGTATGAGGCTGACCTGACTGTCGGTAACCACAGTTGGACCCTCTCATCAAGAAGGATACAGCCAATCCTTCCAGACCGCGCGCTTGGTGCGCTCCAAGGTTGATGATGAGCCCGCTTAGCATTGTCAATGGGAATAAACACCTGCAGAAGTCTTTTGCGGATGCCGCTGCCAGCTCATGACAGATGCGCTCGCTGACTGGTCCAAACCGTAGTCACACAAGTAAGTACAGGAGATGGTGAAGACGTGGTCCTAATTCTAGGCCCACACGTTGGCATGATGCCGTATTCCATGTGTGGCGTGCGCTGACTGGCTCTGTATCTTACTATCACTCAACCACTCGATCTTGCTGCTGTCGATGGCTCATCGAAAGTTCAAGTCGAAAGGCGTTGATACGTGATAGTGAGGCTCAAATCGTCTACTCACTCTTCATTAATGTTGTAAATATTCACAGGGTGACACGGACCCGATCAACGAGTAACCGTGGGGGGTTCCATCATGACTTTGGGGCTAGGTTCCATGCTCGCATCAATGTTGGTGAAGGTTGATAGAATACACATATCTGACTCCCTCGATACAGAGGCCACCGCATTGAATACATGTACATCCACAGGATCAACCAGATCAAGTATTTCTTCCTGGTAGTGGTGATGGCGCTATGACACTAGGAAACAAAGAAAGAAAACAAGAGGTTTGTTTGTGTAAATTAGATGCATCAATACTGCATAAACACCCCTTAAATGCATAAAAGTGGGCGTTATGCGGGCAAATGCAACATTTCTTATTCACAATTCATCAATCTTATTTCCTAGGTACCAGCACCCATACCGTGCCAATGCCCTCGAATCCTCGATGTCCATTTGTCCATTTCCCCCTGACAAAAACCCCTAATAACAAAAGCCCGAGGAAAGTCACAAGCAAGACAGGCCTGTGACCACTTGGACCAAAAGTCGGCAGCACACCACCAGCCCGGCCGGCCCAGTACAACGACTGCCAGCTGGTCGCCACCTGACGGGGATACAGCTCGGCCAGTACACCACAGCACTCATAGGCTGTCTGTAGCTACTAGCAGCAGCTCTCTCTGTTGGACCGGACCCGGCCTGAGCCAAGCTATCCATCTCTCTTCCACTCCAGTCCTCTGCTCGCTGCTCACTGTGAGCTCTGTGCGTGCTGTCGTCCCTGTCCGGCCTGCGTCTCCCCCCAGGCATCATTTCCAACAATTCTCTTTGTGATATCCCCCATTGCACCTTGCCCCGGCCGAGTCAACAGTCAACAGTCAACAGTCCCTTTCCTTCCCTTCCATCAAACCCTTCCGCTCGAGACATCCTCTCCCATCCTCGCCATTCCCCAGCCGCTCGACCCCTCCTCTGTGCTTTCCCTCACGCCTGCTCGAGTCAGAGACGACCGATCACCCGCCGACATCTGACATCTGACGCCCGACGCCCGACGCCCGCTTGCGATAAGAAACCCAGAATACCAGCACACCTCATTCATACACCGTGACATCAGCTACCAGCACCTGCCCTTCTGCCGGAGTATCGAATCCAAGTCAACATGGTGGTCGCAACGATCAAGTAAGTCTGCCCGCACTTGCACTGTATTTGTGTCTCTAGACGTCGTGCATTCCATGCGACTTGTCAGGCGCTTTGTTACCGGTCTGCGGGCGAACCTCCGCCTCGCTCGCATGTGCTCCGCCATTCTCTTCCGGAAAGCGGAAGACATCACACATCACGCGTCACGCTCTTAGACACAGGTTCTGCATGTTAACGCAGGACTAATGCTAACCCATACCTCCTTTGCTACAGGTGCGTCGTTGTTGGTGACGGCGCTGTCGGCAAGACCTGCCTGCTCATCAGCTACACGACCAACAAGTTCCCTTCAGAATATGTCCCGACAGTCTTCGACAACTACGCTGTCACCGTTATGTGAGTCTCGCAGTCCCACAATACACTCCCCCCGAACGTCATTGCAACAGGGTTTAGCGACGACACGGTCATCTAGGTTGCGTTACAGGCAGTCACCTTATCAGCCCAATTCCCGTACCGGTCAGGAAGGGAGGCTGACACCTTGGGCAACAGGATCGGTGACGAGCCGTACACACTCGGACTCTTCGATACGGCAGGACAAGAAGATTACGACCGCCTGAGACCCCTCTCATACCCACAAACCGATGTCTTCCTCGTATGCTTCAGCGTCACATCGCCTGCCTCGTTCGAGAACGTCCGAGAGAAGTGGTTCCCCGAAGTACATCACCACTGCCCCGGTGTGCCATGCCTCATCGTTGGCACCCAGACAGATCTGAGAGAGGACAACAGCGTCCGTGATAAGCTCGCGAAGCAAAAGATGGCACCTGTTCGTAGGGAGGATGGGGAGCGGATGGCCAAGGAGCTCGGGGCAGTCAAATACGTCGAGTGCAGTGCGTTGACTCAGTACAAGTTGAAGGATGTGTTTGATGAGGTATACATGGCTTGCTATACACTCTTCAGTTGGCAAGCAATACTGACTGATCCTAGGCAATCGTTGCTGCTTTGGAGCCACCCGCACCGAAGAAGAAAAACCGCCATTGCAAGATACTGTGATCACCCCTGGAGGGGTTGGGTCGGACAAACTCTCTATCACTCCGGAATGTGAACAGCATGGAGCAGTTTGGCTGGTACTGGTAAGAACAAGGGTCCGCTGGTCTGGGGCTTTCGCTTCACGACCTGCATTTTCTTCATGGCGATTCACTAGACTTTTGCGCTTGCAGTATGGCAAGCGTTCGGATTCAGCAAAGAATCAACCCACAGAGCTTCCGCGGCAACAAGCAACTCGTGGATCAAGAGGGGAAGCTACACTGGACCTCGAATATGGACTGCTTGGGCTAACCGCCCTCGATCCAGCCTTCCTGTAGGGGACAGATGGGCAGAGATCGGAATGCACCGAGGAAAATTGCACGCAAAACGGTCTGCCTCGATCAAGGGAATAAATGAGTCAAACTATTTTCCCTCTTCGGAAGAATCTTGAGCCATATTCGCCTGGCTTGGTTCTGTTTTCTCATTTCTTGATACTTTGACAGCCAGGCTTGGAGGGAACTTCGTAGATGCAGGCAGGTCTTCGATAGGATCGTTTGGCGATTGGAGTGCATCTGAATTGACTTGATTCTCTTCCAACCCAGAGTCCTCATTTCTTTCCATGTGGTCTCAGTGGGGTCGCTTTATCACTCCGGACCGCCATTCTCGTCGGTTTGCAACGCTTTCGGTCGAGCTGCCAATTCCCTGCTCTACAAGCTGTCATACCCATCGACTTATGTGATGTGGACTCTCCCTTCGAAACTATGAACATGACGATGTCACCACGCTTTCTGATGTTGCAGGTTCGCTCTTGGGAAAACAGCTTAGGAGACACGTCACAACTGTCACATAGCTTCTCCAGGGTCCCATCGAGAGATGCAACTCAGGGGCAGCCCTCCATTATAGTCCCAAGACTTGGGGGTTCAGACCCTCCAAGCCATCAGCTCACCGCACGATACACGCTCCTACAACAATACACTCCCCTACAACTCATCTCTCCCACTCTCACCAGATTTAGCCCCAGCCGCCCCCGTCCTTCCCATCTCGCCCATCCCCCTCTTAACCATACTACTCAACATCTCATACACAACCTGCGCGGCCGCGAGCGCCGTTTCCTCGCCATTCCCCTGGTACGCGGGCGCAACCTCGACGACGTCGGCGCCGACGAGGTTCAGCCCCTCGATGCCGCGCAGCACGCGGATCAGCTCGCGCGTCGTCCAGCCGCCGGGCTCGGGGGTGCCGGTTCCCGGCGCGAAGGCTGGGTCGAGGACGTCGATGTCGACACTCAGATACACGGGGTCGGCCGTGCCGAGCGTGTCCATGATAAGCTCGACGACGCCCGAAGTGCCGACGTCGTCGACCTCGTCGGCCGCGATGCGCACCCAGCCCTGCGCCGCGTCGTCGGAGTAGTCGGCGTAGTCGTCGCCGGACAGGCGCGTGCGCAGGCCCGCGTGTACTGAGCTTTTGCTTTTGGTGGGATCCGTGGTGGTGTTGGCGAGAAGCAGCCCTTCCTGGCCCGCGAGCCAGAACATCGAGCCGTGGTTGAAGCGCGTCTGCTCCGACGCCCAGTGCGACGGGTACTTGGCCGGGTGCCACGTGTCGAGGTGGGCGTCGAAGTGCAGCACCCTTACGGGACCGTAGATCTCCTTCAGGGCGCGCAGGGCCGGTAGGGCCAGGCTGTGGTCGCCGCCGAGCGTGATGAGTTTTGGTTTGGAGAGCAGCGGTGACACCGGGGCGCGGGCGCCCAGCTCGCGGAACGCGGTTGTCATCTGTGTTAGTGCCACGGCGTTGTCGATGGGCACTACGGGGATGTCGCCGCAGTCGAGGATCTTGGCCCAGTTTTGGTACGGGTTCATCCCGGCGCGCGGGTTGAAGCCCCGGAAGGAGGTCTGTCGGGCTGAGGCGGCGCGGATGGCGCGGGGCCCGAAGCGGGCGCCTTGCAGATGGGTTAGTGAGGAGCAGATAAATCGGAGACCGGTGTTGGGATTAGGATGGGCTGTTGGTTGGGATCTGAATCTGTACCATGGCCCAGAGAGAAGTCTATATAGCTTCACGAATCGGTAGCTACGGCGGAGCTTGACTCACCCGGACGATAGCTCACAGCCGTGTCGAAAGGGGCTCCGATGATAGCGATGTCATAGAGCTCGCTGGGCGTTGTCAGGCACTTGACGTGCTTGAGGTGGGCAAAGGTCGAGATGCCGGAGAACGCCCACTGCGTTACGTATTGTCGGTTAGCAATGTATCCTAGTAGATCCTGTCATGGACTTCCGTGTCCACCTGTATGCAAGAAGACTGCACCAGAAAGTACGGCCCATCTCAACAGATGATAAGATGGGAGTAAAAGTCAACTTACATCCGTCCCCCATTTCTCCTCAAGTGCATCCAGCTCCTCCTGGCTCCATTTCCTGACCTGCCCGTGGCCCCCGCACGCATTCACCAGAGCAGAGCCGCAGCTCAGAGCAAGCCACAGGGTCTCTGCGAGTCTCATGTCGATTCGTCGACGTGACTATGTTGGAGGTCACTTGGAGTCGGCTGGTCAAGCAAGAGTCTGGAGACCAAACAAGACTTCGGTGTCTTCGGTGGTCTTCGCACAATTCGGAATTGCCGCCAGCCAGGGACAGCCAAGAAAGGTAAATTAAAGGAATACACCTGGGTAAAGTTCAATAATACAACGGGAGGAGATTCTTTCTCTCCAGAACATGACCTGTCAGGAGCCGGTAGTCGTTGATTCGGGGCTCCGGTATAGGCCGCCGCTTGATAGCAGCCCACATAGATAAGTGGGAGGTTTGTCAGTTTTATTGGTCAGACCAATGCTGTTATATACTAAGGTATGCATGCATGAGAGGAGGTCTTGCAATTGTCGATGCACAATTGTCTAACTGCTGGAGTACAATATATATGCCATTCTATTCTTTGCTCCGAATAGGCAGGCTTAGGTCGACGGGACTCGGGATGGCGCAGGAAGCGGTGACTAGATGTATGCCCATGCGGCTCGCCGGCTGTCTCGTAGATTGTACCTGGAATTTCAATAGTGGGTCATGAGCTTTTAGGGTACTTTTCCCACGCAGTGTGTGTCAATTTGGACTACGCGCAGATGCTGGAGACGGGAGCGTGGAGAGGGTTTGATTTGGAGGTCTTGATGCTGTCTCACTTACCGGTGAGGAAGAGGACGAGGAACGGGAAAGGCCAGCTGGTGGTACACGAGGGAGGCGACGATGATGATGCTACAGATAGGTCGTATTTCTGTTTAGTACTCACCGATGCGAAACGCACACATAAAGGACGGTACGGTTGAGGAGAGTCGGGTGGGCTTACTTATCAGGTGATGAGGTGCCGGATATGAGGAGGGAACAGAGTAACCGGCGTACTGTCATACTGGTCTGAATAGCGTCGATATCTGGAAGATGAAGTTTATGCCACTATGTCACTGCACTGTTCAGGGGTATGCACTGGGACAAGCAATATCAATAGTTATTGAGAGCATTATCCGTGAAACGATAAGTGCAGTATGAGTGTGACAGCGTTGTTGTATTCAGGAAAAGGTCTATCGACTGAGTGTTGGTGGTAGAATACACTTAGATGCCCTGTGGGTCCCTGTACGACCCGACAGCGTGGCTGATCCCCACATACCGCTTACATATACAGATGGATACTGCTCACAGTTATCATAGCTTTTGAGACAGGCTTGTGGCTCCTCAACCCATTTTCCAGCCACAATGACGGATGGGTCACGGACCAGGGTACAAGGTACCTTGGAGCCCAACTGGTACCCGTTTGTACCAGATTCGTACCCAACTGGGATGAAGCTACTTCTGGGATGGGGACACCACCCATCCCTTCTTTCAATCAAGCAACTTCCAGAATACAGACCAATAGCCACCATTCGTGACCCTGGTCCTTATTCTGGATACCGCTACCACAAGGCACAGGCTTCCGTGAGCCCCAAACCGGTATATATATGTTTCTCTGATGTATTGTACATGCGGCGGGCTATACGGCCGATAGTGATGCTCTATGGCGATAGAAACCGTGAACAGCGAAGTAACAGGGAAATCACAGCAACATCAGCGACATCAAGCAATATCCGCAATATCGACAGTATCTACGGGGGTATCGAACGTTCTATATGCATCAAGCGTACGCGGCCCACCCTGTTTGGTCATTAGCATCATCACCAAGCTATAGAGGTCAAGGGAAGAAAGGGGCAGTCTTGGACTCACCTGAATACAAACTCGCCAGGTTCCTCTCGTCGGTCGCCTGGTTGATCAGATCGTTGACTGTGGCCGTCACACTCAAGGTCTTGCTGAGCTTCTTGCGAACGACCTCGAGCGCGCGGTCGGCCTCGCTCGGCTCGTTGACTACGCCTCCGGCAGCGCCCGCTGCGCTCTTCCGCCTGGGGCTGAGCACGCTCTCCGAAGTCTCGTCCGGCGCCTCGTCTCGCCTCGTGTCCTGCAGCTTCGCCACGCGCACTGGGCTGATGGACCACGAGTGCAACGGATCATACCGCAGCACATCGAGGATCGTCATGATTGAGTACGTCTCTTCCCGCAGTGCATCGAGGGTGAACTCGCAGCATCGCCGGAACACGCCTTCGGTCTTGGTGATGCCCATCCCGTCCACAATGTCCCGCGTGAGCCGGAACGGCACGAGTTCAGGGACTGGCAGCACACGCCCTGTCTCGAAAGCCACACCCAGATCGATGTGCACGACCTCGCCATTTTTGGAATCGAGAAGGATGTTATGGCCGTGACGATCGCCAAGGCCAAGGACGTGACCGAGCATCGAAATCGCTGCTGTGGTTCGGGTGTACGCTGTCCGCTTGGCAAACCACTCGTCCGGGTCGACGAAATTCTCCATGAAGAAGTAACGCATGACGGGCTGGAACCGCTCAGTGACCTTCTTATAAGTGGCGACGCGTACCTCGGCGGACTTTTCTTGAACACCGGAAATCTCCTTACGACACTGTGATCCTCTCAAGTCCTTGGGATGGTACCGCTCGTGAGCCGGCATCAGATAGTCATGGAGCGGTATCGTGTTCGACACGAACTCGATAAGCCCCGACACGTTCGTCAGTGGCAAAACTTTGTATGTCCTGATGCCGAGGTTGCGCTGCCTCGTGGAACGATGCAGTTTCAGGACAGACGATACCGCGGCAAATACTTGCTCCATGATTGCGTCCTGACGGAGATCGTCATTGCCGCCTTTGACGAGCTGCTTGAACCGTTCCCCATTGCTCCCTACTATGGTGATTATCTTGGGTGCGCTCACACCGCTCGCAATCGTCATGCTTGGTTCTAGCTTCGTCATGGTAGGGACGTGAGTGTAGTCCAAGTTGGCCGAAAGCTCTATCTGCATGGTCGGGGGCGGTATGTGATACTTTGCGAGGGAGCTGGCGAGGGTAGAGCCGGCAGCTGAATCCCTCATCGCAACCTTCTGGCCTCCCTTGTAGCCGCCTTCCACAGCTAGCACGTGGTATGCTCGGCTTATTCCGTTGATGGCAGACCATGTTTTGGCGGACGCCTCCGTCTGGGCGAGCCTTTTGGCCACCCTCTGGGTGGCTTGCCGCCGGAGTTGAGCAGCTTCGTCTTCCTTCTTGGGTCTCGACATGTGGCCCGACCAGATCTGGTACATCCCATGGTATGGATGATCGACGCATATGCGATATACGAGCTCAAGGAGTAGCTTCTGGAAGAGACTGCCCTGATCCAGGAGCCGCGAAGTAAGTTGATTCATGAGAGGTGCGAACTTGCGCGTTGCGACTTTGTCGATGTATTTCCGCACTGCTTCATTCGTAAAGCTTTCGCCTGAACGCTCAAGCCAGAGAGCAGTGAATCTCAGCGCATCATTATCGTGGTCATCGGAGGCGATCAGCGACAAGAGGTAGTTCTCCAAGCTCAGCCGGACGAACTCGCTGCGGCTTTGTTCCACTCGCCGCAGCTCCTGTTCATCAAGCTCGAGCCACTTCTCCGCCTTTTTAAGGTGGTTGTTGTATCTCGCCTTGGTCTGAGTGTCTCTCGCGGATGAATACAGTCCTTGGAGCTGCGTGACCTCGTCGTTCTTCCCCTGTCTTAGGTGCTGCAGCCGAGCTAGGTCTTCAAGACCGTCTGGATTCTGTAACTGCTCGTCGCAAAACATGGCGAACTGATGATAGACCTTTCCAGCCTCTCGTCCGTCCGCTCTACCCTTCAACTCCTTCAGCGCAGGCTGCAAGTATTTCTTCTGAATGCTATCCGGCTTCTCGAGCCTCGCGACAGAGACCTGATATGCGGTCTTGGCGAGAAGATCAGGCCTGCTGAGAGGGATGGTCTGCTTCTTGAGGTTTGTGTCTTCGTCAATGCTTTGGAGCATGTGAATCGAAGACAGCATCTCACCATGGTCCCATAAAGAATCAGCTGCCTCGACCCTTGCCGCTGAATCAAGGTACAACCCGAGATCCGTACTTGACGGAACCAGATCGGTAAGAGACGTTGCGATGTTTAAAGACTCCTGAAAAGCTTGATGGTACCGATGGAGACCAGCTGACAGCAACATCGACTTCACTTGAACTAGTCTCGCTTCTGGGGGCTTCACTCTGGCCGTGCTCCGAAGCTGGGAGGTTTTGGACAGCATACTCAAAGTAGTGTCTCTGCAAGACAGGATCTGCCTGACGTCTTCGTATCTACGGGATGTTAGTGAATGTGCAAACGTTGGTGCAAGGAGACTCACCGTCCACTCTTCATCCAGCTCGAGCGATTGCCAAATACTGTCAATATCTCGTCGAGATCGCTAGGGTCAGAAACATCGATCGTGTCGTTGACTTCTGCCAACACAGCTAAAGCTCCTAGGTTCTGTCGAAGTTGTAGTGGTCCAATGTCGTGCTTGATCACGTTTCGCATAGTCTCACTGAACCCATCATAGGTCACCTTTCTCACGGCGTTCATCTCGACAGCCTGGTTCCACGCTTGGTAAGCTTTGTAGATGGTCACAGAAGGATGATGTGTGGATTTTGGTGCCGGCAAGTTCCAGATCTCCAGCTTCCTCGCTGTGCTGAAAGTAGTCTCAACAGTCGTGGATGAGCGTTCAAGACTTTGCTGATTCTGTAGCAGGGAATGCGATAGGCCGGACAGACCAAGACCACTCAGAGTTGCGACGAGCGATTGACTGTCAATGATGGCGGCTACGTCTCCTCTGCGAAGGTGGCTATCGTATTGAGCTCCCCGGAAGGCTAGACTTTTGCTGCCATCTTTCTCATATTCCAGCCGGGATAGGACGTTGCTTAAACTTGACGCGTGACCCAGGCCGTAGTAAGCATCCGGATCGTCGATATTCTCAAAGATGTCTAACAGCACGTCCGCAGATTCCTGAGCCCGAGCGGCTAAAGAGCGCCGAGAAGAGCGCGATCCGTCAGAAGAGGCCAGTTCAACGAACAACAGGGCTGTCTTGTACATGCCACATCTCGTGGCAGCTGAAGCGGCCAAGGACAGATCCAGATCGAGCCACTGAATTCTATCAGCTATGGAGCTCTCACCAGGCAGCTGCTGTGTTCGAAGATACAAAACAGCGTTCATCAAAAGACCGATGTTTTCTCTTGCTATTGGCGTGTCAAGCTTCAACCAGTGCTTGAGGGCGTTGGAGAGGCTTCGCTTTGCCGATTGTTTCATAGTGCGCTCAAAAGACAGCACTAGATGGACAATGTAAGGGAACGCTTCTTGGGCAAATCCTTTGACATTCGCGAGTATTGGTGGCAAGGCACTCAGTATGATGCTGTCCGGAAATGTCTGCACTAAACGGACAGTGATGATCTGTGCCCATTTCGGATCCTGGCACGCCTCATCAGAGAAAGCGTAGTCTTCGTGAACAACATCGACACTGATATTGTCTGACGGCGGTGTTCGATACGGTGCCCATTCAGATGTTGCGAGCAGTTGATCAGACAGAACCTGTTGAGATGCTGTCGTCAATCCATGGTCGCCTTGAGCTGCAGCCTCGGAGAGTATCGTCCTCAAGGCCGACTCTGCAAGTCCGGCTTTGAAACAGTCACTAGCTGTCGTAAGGGACTGCAGTAGGTTTAGTAAGCCCTGCTCAGAGTCGAACTTGCCTAGTGAGACTTTTCGGTATAGAGTCAAGTCGGATTCTCGGAGTAGGTCATGATCGATGTTCCCAGACGCGGCAAAAGCCCGCCCAATGACGCGACCCGCCCAGGCCAGATAATCGTCGCTCAGTGTTTGTGCCTGGCAGCTCTTCCAAACGGCTGTGGCCAATGCCTTTGCCTCGTCGTCTGAGCTCAGGATGTCATTGCTAACCGAAGTCGGCATGATGAACTGTCGACAGAGCATCTCCAGTGCCAGTTTCCGCGATGGTTCATTCAGCAGCTGAGCCTCGTCGACTTCATCTTGAAGAATCTCGAGAAGCAGCCTGCTCTCGTGAGTACCTCGCTCGGCGTTCCCAGATGAGCGGACATGAGCTGCTGACTGGGTGATCGCTTTGAAAGCATCACGTTGTTTGTCGTTTCGGAGGTGAGGCGAGCTATACTTGTCGAGGTAGGTGTTAAACCAGGAATGGAACTTCTGCGCTTTGCTCATCGTAGCTTTGAATTGACTCTCCTGTGTGGTACTCGACTGGGTAGACTCAAGGAAGACCCTGAGAGATGCCAGCGTCGACAAGGCATGACCAGCGAGAAACGAGGGCGACTGTGTTAGAGCATCCGATCCCTTTTCCAAGAGATACTGACTCATCCCCATTGCGTCATCCGCACACTCGGAGTCAACAATGAAAGGACGGATAGAATGGAGCAGCATCTCGAGTGCATATGAGCTCCATGCATGAGCACCTGCCAAGCACATGAGTACCCTAACCTTTCGAATAATGGAACAAGTGTGCAGAGGCCCCAATGCGGCATGTACGCCGTTGAGAAGTTTCCTGGCAACCGAGACCACCAGAGCAGGAGTCCAGAGTAATGACAATTCATATTCTGTACGACTGCAAAGAAGGCTGATCTCTCTGCTGAGGTACTTCGCATGGAACGAGGGCTGTTGATTTGCTCCGAGAACGACGTCAGAGTGGCCGCAATCTTTGATATTTGCCATGGTCTCGGTAGCATAGGCAAACTCCGCTTCCTTGGCCCACGATCTCTCAACAGGATCTTCTTGATCTATCAGACTGACGAACAAGCCGATAATGTCGGCGAAGTTCACGTAGATACCATCGAGGAACTTCTCTCGCCCAAGTAGCTTGCGTAGTCGGGTTTCGCCGTTCCGATTCTGCTGTTCATTCTTACGGATGCTGATGTCATGAGCCATACTGTATGCGATGGTCTTGGAAAAATTGTCCTGGAGAAGCTGCGGTGTAGTGGTACCAAGGGCCGTAGCCAGCTCAGAAATAGACTCCTCCTGGTCCCGCATGAACAGGATGGCAACGACTTCAGACTGTGCGCGTCGGAGTAGCTCTTGGAGACTAGAGAAGCCGAAAATCTCAAAGGGGATGTTTTCGACAGTCCCCTCATCAAACCAAGTGTATAATAGTTGAGAGGCAAACAGGTCGAAGAGTTTGCGAGTATCGTCGAGCTTCAGGGAGACTGCTATGTTCTTGAGACAATATGCCGCATGCTGCTTAGACTGCGGAATACTGCCAGGGGTCTCGAATATATGGTAGATGCCCCGTCGCAAGAGAGTCGGCCACTGCCGAGCTATCTCTGCTAGCACGAACAACCGCAGAGCTATACCTTCAAGGAACGCATCGTCTGTCGGAAGGTTTTCAAGGACATTGACGAACATGTCCTCGTGTAACTTCAGGACATAACGACCAAAGATACTTGGCAGTCGAGACCCGATGTAGAACTTTACCGGCAGCGAGCTACTCTCCAAAATACTGAGTAGCGACGTATTTGGAGGCGGCATCTTGACAGACTCTGGAAATCTGTCATTGACATGAGCCAGATGCAGCAGCAGGCGCGACAACGACATCTGCACATTCTGAGAAAGAAGGTTGATCGAGAGCCCCTTATTGAGGTAGTGGCTGTACAGATCACCCACGAGGAAGGAAAGTTCACTTGTGCCATCAGCCCATATAGTAATGAAGCCTTCCATCAAATCGAGACAGATGTTCAAAGCAACTTCACAGCTTGAGAAGGCTAGCTGGCCGATCAGTGCTCCCGTTCTCTGGATCATCTTTTCAGCGTCGTCGGGGTTGACAATGAGATCAGAATCAAACAATTCTTTGATCAAGCATCGGCATGAGAGAACTTCTTCATCCGAGAGCTCTAGAAATGCGTCGAGGAAAGATGGCGGAACAAGTCCAACCTGGCCATTATCCTCGTAGAGTACTTCGAGGAAATGGAGTCGTTGGGTAGTGTCAATGTAGAAGGCCGTCGATTGCAGAACGATAGACGACTCCCGCCGCGAAACCTCAATAGGCTTGGACGCCGTGCTTGCTCGACTGCCTTGAGACTCAAAGTTGTCATCAAGGTCCATCAGATCCCCGTCGTGGCCAGAGGACTGCTTATCCGCTCGCTGACGGAGAGCGCCGGACAGCTCAGAGAAGAGTTGGTGCAGGTATGGCCACTCCTTCGCAAACCGGGTCAGTTCCATATTGGTCAAAGTAGGCATATAGGGCCGGAGGGATCTGAGAAGGGACTCGTAAAGAAGCTGACTCTCGGATGAGGCCGATACCGCCCTTAGAAGACTCTGGTTTACTTTGAAGAAAACTTCATCCATCTCTTGCGACTGTCGCGTGTTGATTTCCTTCAGCTGGGGCAGTATTAGTGTGCCGACGATCAAGCACGAAGCGACGCTTTGCAATCTTTCAGATGTGATCTGTGTGGAGCCATCGCCCTTCTTTGCCCAAGCATCGCACAAGTCACCAACACCTTGGAGTTTAGGATAGAAGAGCTCGGCTACGAGCTTCTTCGTAGCGTACGCACTGGAGGTATCTGCGAGCACTGTGGCAGAAGGTGTCACTGTCACATGGTTTAGTAGATCGTCTTCTGACCTGGTTTCAGGAGTACCATCTCCGAGAAGCAGCAGGTACTTCACAACACTTTCACGTTCCCGGAGTAGCGATATCGTCTCTGCAATTGGGCCCGCTATACTCTGAGAGCATTTTGGAAGCATTAGCTCCTGATCGCCATATGCTGCTCGCAGAACATTGACGACATTGAGCGGCGGGACATGTATGGCATTTGACGAGATGAAGTTCGCGTCCGCTAGTGGCAGAAAAGTCAGCGTAGGCGTTGTTGTATGGCATAAGGCACTTACCAGGATCCCATCTGGACAGCATCCAGCGCACAATATGGTTGCTGGTCGCGTGGCTGGCGTTTGGAAGGTGATAGTTCCGAAGATGGAGAAATCTTGTCATCAAGATAAGGGAGGAATCGGCCAAGACAGCAGGACAGTTGACGTCAATATCTGTCACCATTTTATTGATGTCATCAGTCATGTCGCGGTATGATACAAGCTCATGAGTGACGATGGAGTGTAAGAGGGCGCTCGAGGCACGGCAGGTTCCTGTCATACTGACAGAGCGCACCGCAAGCTGCCAAGATTGCTTCCAAACAGCAGCCAGATAATCCTCGGTGGCAGTGGCTTTCGGGGCCAGACTGATAAAAGTTAGCACTGACTTACTGGCTTGTCCGGCGGAAATGGTACCAACCTTGCACATGCTATCATCGCCCAGGTAGACATTTTGCTGTTCTTGTTTGTGACGAGGTCCATCAGGAGCGGCAAGAGTTCAGATATCTCATCGACCGTAATATCAAGGTCCGAGACAAAGAAGGGTATCATCTGCAGCGCTGTGTATTGCGTAGATTGATCAATCGATCTCAGCTTTTGACGAAGCCTACTAAAGCCAGCAGCGGTTCGTTGTTTCTTGCGCGGCTGCTCATCGTCAACAGGGCTTGGATGAACGGATCGCGACCTCTTCCAGATGAGCCCCTCGAGGAACGCCAAATTCTGAACGACTCCCCATTGTCTCTCTCCTTCTACGTTGAAAGGCCGCAGGGCGAAGGTCTGTACCTGGAAGTGCTTGCTGGTTTGATTGCCGGTCGTGTACGCCAAATCATCCTGCTGGAGCTGGGCGCGTTCGCCTCGCCGAGAATACTCTGACCAGAACATCTCGGCCAAATTCTCGATGTCTTCCAGCAGTGCTGGCTCGCTGTCTTTCTTGACCAGATGCTCCAATTGTAACTGGACATTGTAGAGAAGCTTGAGCATCTCAGTTCGAACGCCATTGAGTAATGCATCGTATTTGGACGCAGTTCTAGCATTCCACCAGTAGGTAATGAGCGGCAAAGACTCTACGGCCAGTGAACTTGCTTCGGCGGAAGCATCTGTCTGAGTCGTCACTATGAGCGAATTGATGACGGAGAACGCAAGTTGATGCAGCGGACTCATGCCTAGAGCATGAAGCTGAAGTACTGCGATAACAGCCGATGATATGTCTTTGGAACGCTGCAAGAGTGGCGCGTTCGGAGTCGCAACTAGGAAGAAGAGGCATTGCATGAGATCCGGGAGGCAACCACGTGGCATCCGGCTATTGCTGCCACGTTTCGACGTAGCCGTCGACCTGGGAGTCGACATTGGCAGAGACATCGACGCTGTGCCAGGCGCCGGTGACGCACGCGAAGGGCCCAGGTCACGATCCCCATTTTCTAGAGATTCGGTGATGATCTTGATTGTGAAATCGACACAAGTGTACCATCCCTTGCCGTCGTACGTGGTCAAAAGCTCAACATTGGCGGCATTACCAAGGAGAGCACACAAGGCTTTGATGTAGTCCTGAATTAGCGGCGGGACAAGCCCATCGTCGGGATGTGGCAAAGTCTGGGTGAAATGATCAATGACGACCAGGACAGTCTTTCGCTTGATCTTGGAGGCTCCGTGCTCTATACTCAAGCGAAGTGCCTCTGCGCACTTGACAAGTCTACTGGTAGCGACGGGTTTGGAGCCCTTGCCCTTATAATAAGCCTCTTTTTCGGATATGGCAAATCGGAAGATAGCCTCGAAGAGTCTGTGGTAGCTCTTATCATTCAAGGCCGAGCTTTAGATGTTCATGAGCCCACAGCCGAATTCATCAAGGAAGGTTAACTCACAGATTGGAGGCAGTTGACTGGTGTTTGAAGATGTGGGCCAGATCTATACATGATGAGCAACGCTTGGTAGTCTTCGGGACGTAAGGACATGGACTGAATCCTCACCTTCCAACCCGGATGCGCCATTTGTTCTACTGCCACTCTCGATTAACTCTGTCGCATGTTAGTCCCATCAATGTCACTATAAGCAGGTACGGTGTAAGGCGACTTGCCTAGAGCTTTCTTTAGGGTGAGCTCCCGAGCTCCCGATCGAGGGGCCATTCTGTTTCGTATGCATCGGTTGTCGTAGCTGGGGTTGTTCGGTGGCCTGCCGGATTGACGACCGTTCGTGATGCAAACGCCCAATCAGTCATGTATGATACGCCGGTCTAATCCTATCGGACCACCTTGATAGACCGAAACCACTGAGTTCGGATGGAAAATGATCGGCAGACAAGGCGAACGGTCAAACCTCGAGTTGGCGTGCACATCCCTAGAAGTAGGAGCTTCAACTGGGACAAGGTGAAAAGAAGCCAAGATGCACAACTCAAATGGTGTATATATTTGGTTTACAGGCAGGCACTCTATATAGAAACCTGAAGGTGCGAACGCCGTACCTCATCATTGAGACACCAAGCTACAGCCTTGCCAGGGGCCAGGGCATCTGTTGGATGAAGTGGACTGAATGAGTACGGCAGGTTGTGGGCGTAATAAAAGTAAGGTGGTTGAGCTGGGCTTTCGAAACGGGCGTCAACGCGAGCTTCACCAAAGTTGGCGAGTTCTGGTGCATTTCCAGGATCTCCTCGGTGCAAGTGCTGCACTCCTGGGCGTGCCTGCGACTTTTGTCCGGCAGAATTGTACACCGCCCAGACCGCCCAGGGTGTTTTGTTGACATTCGACCCACCCTACCTTACCTAAGCCACTACCTGACCCCAGACCCCACTGCTGCAGCTCTAAAAAAGTTCATCAATCCTACTGGGCCAATCACTGAAGCTCTCCCTTTCCAGCTGTCTCATTGGTCAGACATCCAGGTTTGACGTGCCTGCCTTTGATGCTTTAGCTCGACACGTCCAACGCCAGCTGTGAAGCATCATTTTCTCGACTGCAGCTGCGCGCCCTCACCAGCTGCCAGAAGCTTCATACCGCAACAACCGATATCCGCGCTGACCCGATCGTCCTCCGACCGTGAACCACTGCTGCGACACGACACCTTCGTCTTCCGGGTTGCGCAACGATGCGATAGGACCCTGAGCATCTACAATGGCGGACGATGGCACTATGGAAGCTCTCCAGGCTCTCCATAGAGACCTGACTACCGTTGTGGAAACTTTGAAGGAGGATCGCGAGGACCGAGGTCGCCTAGCCCTAGCCCAGCTCGCACAGTCCCCCTTGCTGGAAGTGGTGCGCGACAACTTCCAGGGCCTGCTCGACAAGCGGCCTCGAAGGCAGCAAAGCCGTGACGCTGTTCTCTCAGGTTAGTCTTCAACCACGACATCTATGCACGAGCGAATATCGCTGATGCTATGACAATCTAGGCAAGGTCAAGATCGCCGGTGAAGAGTGGACGTTGAATAAAGACTTCCAGGAGATCATATTACAGGTCGCCGACGAGCTCGACCTTGACGAAGTCGATGCCGCCAAACTCGCGTTACAAGCCGAAGAGGAGGAAATTTCTCTAGGACGGCCCAGGCGAGAATGTGCAATCATCAGGTTCCATCAGCAGAGGAAATATCTGCTTAGCTGCATGCTGTTGTTGCTCGAGCTCTCCAAAGAGGAGGACGAACTGCTAGCCGATGATCTGGGTGATGATCTTGGGCTGCTCGGGCCATATGTGAATGAGAACATTCTTCATGGAAATAATCCTGGTCAAGCACCCCGGAATTCGACGGTTAGGTTCGTGCCAAAATGCGCCGCCAGCATGCGCGACATTCGAGCTTGGCTACAGAGACTCTCCGAGCAGGTAGCTGGTGCAGCAATGCTGGATCGTGGTACAGAATTGCATTTTCAGGAGACCGTCGAATTCACCCACATCAGCCTTATACAGCAACACGAGTTTCTCTCCGTCATTCTCTGCTATGCAATCGAGAAACGCATGGCGGAAGAGACGCACTTTGTCGAATTTCTTCGAGAATTCAAGCAAGCTACGAGATATGACTTCTCGACAGGTAAGCCCGCCAAAGATTCGACTGGACTTCTACAACCTTTAGTTCTTAGCTGACAGTTACAGTGCACTCTATTCCCATACTCGGTGCTTACATAACACAGTTCGGTTCAACGGAAGGCAGTAGGAGCATAGAGCAAGCCAGGGACTTGCACCAGGTCGTGTGCCAACTGACAGATGATGAATCCCGCCAGATTCCATCTCTCAACGCTGTTGTGAGAGCCTGGTGGATTGCTGAGTATAGCGGTTGGTACATGGAGGATGCCGCTGGCTCAGTACTTCCCGATATCGATATTGATGAAGGCAAGACCCCTGAGTCCTCTTTGGGCGAACCAGCTAACAATTCGAGAAGAGGACAAGCAAAGATCAAAACTATTCACAGAAGCTCTGAAAGACGGCGCTTTCGACTTTTTGCTGGCTGTCGTGGCCGATGCCAAGACTTCCGAATGGCAGGACCCCTCTCAACAACGATTGAGACATCATTTTCAGAAAAGGACGCCATCTCTCCCTCAAGACACCGTCCCGTTTTCAACCGCGTTGCAAAACCGTCTAACGGCAAAGATGGAGACATTCATCGACGCTTTCATTTCCAACATGCCTGATGTACTCCGGAAACTGAAAATCGAGGAAGATGAACAACGCCAGACAGGCCAAACACAAGAGCAAGACTTGGATTTGGAGAGATTTCTTCTCATCATAGCGTACTCGTACGAAGGTCGACCCGACGCTGCGGATGCTTTCTGGGCGGACCCTGAAAGCAACCTGGCAGGTTTCCTCCAGTGGGCATCCCGGAGGACGACAACGCCGCTCCAAACCGTGTTCTGCGAGATGTTGCAGTGCTTATCCGACGATCCGGAGGCTGCCACATCGGCACACGAATTTCTCTTGGATGAGGGACACCAGATGAGGAGGCCTCAATCAATCACGTGGGCTCGCATCTTCAAGGAGTTTGAGTACTTTGTCAACAAGATTAGGGAGAATCCAATCACGGCCCAAGCTCATGCTCACAGAGCTGGAAAATTCAGCAATGACCAGGCGGAAGCAGAGCCAGAAGCCGCCATGTTACAAGAATCATACCTTCGGCTCATGACCAAGCTAGCACAGCAAAGCGAACCTGCCCGACTTTTTCTACTTCAGCAACCGAGGGAAAGATTGGTGGAGCTGCTCTTCCAAGCGATAAGCAGCCTCGTGACGCCACAGATCAGAGCCTATGCATTCAGGGCGCTGAGCTCTCTCATCAGCCGGAAGACCCTATCCCAGAACTACGCTATGTGGCAGTACCTTGAATCTTGCCTTACGGGTCACTTCATGTCACACGTCACGACCAGCAGGTCTCTGTCATCATCTGCGAGCGCACCACCTCCGTCGTATTACATGGAAGCACTCTTCCAGGAGATGAGTCCCCATTTCGACGAAACGAGTTCTTTCATTCAGTTTTTGGCGGTTTTAACGTCCCTCCCCGAAGGACTCGGTCCTCTGAATGATGTCCTCCCTTTTCCAGAAAACCTGGGTGCGTCTGCCCGGACCCGCCCCGGCATCGAGCCATACGTTGATTTTACATTGGGCCATATGTTTGCGATGCGGGCCCCTGAAGCCCAGGATGCCGCCCAGCAGAGGATCCTGCGTTTCCAGTGCCTGGACTTTGCCCTCGCATGCATTTCTACCTTTAACGAAGATCTGATCGTGTTTAGTAATGAATCCAACATAAGCGTGGATTCCGCTATTCAGACCAAAGATCTCGAAACCTACGTCACTCTTCACCCATTCGCTCGAGTCATGGAGTGGATGTATGACAGCAAAGTCATGAAGAGTCTCCTTGACACCATACATCAGAATTCGGCGGACGTCGGAAAGGCAGCCCCGGATTCACCCCTCATCCTTGGTGTATTACGCGCAGTTGAGCTTGTGTCCAAGGTCATAGACCTCCAAGCTACATATATCGACCTGGTCCGATCGATCGTGAAACCGCAGAACCGGGCTCAAAGCCGATCATCTTACACACCCAGCTCTAATGGAGCGTTTGCCACGGTGGAAGATGGTCTCATGACCAGCCTGACACTCATATCGGACCTCGGCGGCTATTGTGGCATAGGACACCCAGATCTGACACTAGCCAGCTTGAAGCTCCTGGAGAAGATCTCAACATCGCCTAGGATCATCTCGGCTTGGCAGTCTGGGCCATCAGGCCAAAGTAACCGCAACAAGGCCATTATAGCCCTGGAGGAACACGGCGATGCGGAGGCTATAGCCGGAGCCTTCTCCGCCGAGCTCACGAGCCCCCTTGACTTCCGCCGAGAGGGTGATTCCCCAGAATACCACATCAAAGTCTACATACTGGATTTTATATACTCTTGTCTGCGGGCGAATCCAGACCAACCCACCATAGCTCACCTTCTCCTTGGTTTCCGATGCACGGCTAACGCGCTGGAGATTGAGTCAGGGGGTGCATTCGACGAGAGATCAGCTTTATTCCACACATTACTGCCCGTGGCCGTCGAGGTACCGTCAACAAGCGAGGACGGTGTCATGCTGCAGTGGCTCATCAATCTGAAATACAAGGTCATGCGCATCTTCAAGATCCTATGGAGCTCTCCACTCTCGGCGAGCATCGTTCTCGATGAGCTTCGGGAGAATGACTTTCTCTTCCATGTCCTAATGCAAGGGCTCGTCACTCAGCAAAGTCTTGTATGGGATGGGTACGAAGCCAACGGGCCAGATTTCCTTACAACACGTGCAGCTCAGGGCTATGTCGACTACTTGTCAATGCGGGCAATGGCTCTCGAATACATCGCCCACGAACTTTGCAGTGTTTCGCAGGGTGAAACCCCAGCGTTGAAGCGACGCATCTTCGACGCGTTGGGAGGGCAAATCAATATTGACGGCGTGGAGCCAGTATCCGTACCGTCGGTCTTCGAATTCCATGATTCATTGCCGGAAGAGTCACTATTTGCAGCCCCTCCTCCTGATCTCAGAATGTACGGAGACCTCGATATCAGGCCGTGTCTCGAAGAGGACGATGACTCAAACCCCATATACAATGTGGATAAGGTCCATGAGATGGTGCTCTTGAAACACAATGACGGCAGCCAACCCGGCCAGATTGTCTTGCAGCAAGATGCGGCACTTGCGGAAGCAGAGGAGGAGATCGTGTCCCTCTACGTGGTCTACCTCAACCGGCTTACCCAAATCAAAGCGTATAGCCTCAAAGTATTGAGGGCCTGGACCAAGCTTCTGATGGTGATGACGGATACCAACGACTTCAAAGGCACCAATAAAGTCACGTTCATCCTGCAGACATTACAAGCGACGCTCCCGGGTCTCGAGATGTACGGTTCCGAGAAGCCTGCTGCAGCTTACGAGTTGGCCAAACTTGCCAAGGTACTGCTGTACAAGCTGGACTTTACGACGATGACTTCAGCTGACAAGCAAAGTCGGGCGGCCGAGACCCTGGTCAGCGATAAGTTGTTCCAGCTACTACAGATATGCCTCAACGCCATCACAAAATGGGTCGGCAATCAAGAGCTGCGCACAATATACTACAGCATCTGCTACCGTCACCTGACCGGACTCGTCGACCATGGGCAGGGGGCGCCGTTAGGGCTCCGGAAGACTGCTAAGACGATACAGGTGTTCGGTGAGAAGCTTCTGAATGTAATCTGCGACGACGCGTTCGGAGGAGATGCGGCATGTCAATCTGCGGCGTTGGTTCTCCTGGGTACACTGATCCAGCTTGGCAGGCAGGAGGGTGACAACTACGTGGTGGAGGCGCTTAACAAGCTGAACTTCATCGGCATAGTCGTCGACTCTCTGCGTGGCTTGCTGCAGGAGTGGATGGACGTCAACCGTACGGGTAAGTGCCACCACACATTGGATCATGACCGTCCGGTTCCGCAAGCTAACATGGCATCTGCGTCTGCAGGCACCCCGGACCAGCAGCACTACCTGGATGCCAAACTGGCGCTCCTGCTGCAGCTGTGCCAGACACGCGAGGGCGCCAAGTATGTGCTGCATGCGAACCTGTGGCGCGCAATTGACCAGTCTGGGCTGTTCACGGTAGATCCCGAGTTGCAAGTCGGTTCGTCGGACTCTAAGGGTCTGGAGCGGCACTATACCCTCCTGGTCAAGGTGACCCGCATCCTCGGTGTGGCCATCATCAGTCGGGGGTCGCATAATGTGGTGCAGGGCAGACGCTTCCTGACCGAGCACCGGATGCTGGTCATGCACGTCCTGAAAGGGTCGGCCGGTATTGGAGCCGGGGCTGGCAAGATGGACCCGATGCTGGCAGAACGCATCAGCGAACTGGCTGAGGCGTTCATGGTCATCATCACCGCGACTGGCTTTCTCGAGGTAAGATTACCCCTCACTGGTCTCGGCACCGCACAATCCATTCATCGCCTTTGATTGCTAGCTGACACCATCCGTCCCCAGTTTGAGAGTGAGACCCACGTCGAGGAGCACAAGCCGACGGCAGTGCTATTTCACTGAAGACACAATCGACATAGCAGAGATTTGAGATGATACATTGCAAGTAATACAAATGTTGAGCAGCGACAAGCTTGAGGACCAAGGCTGCAACGCTAGGCAGCCGGAGCTTACAAACGTCTGTCTTCAGCCTCATCCCGACCGTGACGACAGAGACAGCAGAGTGGCGGTGGGGTAGGCAAAGCATGTGTGAGGTGACTTGTATTTTTGGAACGCAGAGTTCATTGAGGAAGGATCTGTCAAGAAGGATGCTGCCTTGTCCTGGATATTTAGATGCGCCAGTGCGCGGTTTCAGTGACGAGGACGGTTGCTGGAGGCGGGAGGATCAGGGTCAACTGGTTTTGCGTGATGGGGTGGCCCACGACGTCGCAGCCGACCCAGCTCCGGGACTCGCAGGGGTCAGCGTCGTCAGGGACAAGGCATGCGGCTGGTAGAAGAAGGAATTGTTCGATTTGTGGGCTGGAATCCTCATGGAAGCTTTTCAACTTTCCAAAGTGGATGTCATGCAAGGGCTTACCACACCTGCGATATGCGAACCCGGCGTGATTGGCCGCCTGTTTGTCGAAAGCAACAGTGACGCAGGACAAGGGAGACAAGCTGAGGAGCGTGCAACGAGGCCGACCACAGTGCCCCCTTCATCCCTGCTCTTCTTTTACTGCCTGCAACCCAGCCTTGCCAGCTTCAATTACCAGCCATCTGTCACCCTGATTCCTGCCAGTCAACGACACCGTGCTGCTCCGTGGGCTACTGCGTGACTGCGTAATACTCCCCGGGCTTCCGAGTCAGCTTGGCCCAGGACGCCAGGGCCGCCTGTCAGAGCACATATGTATGCCACTATCCCCTTCTGGACTATAGACCATTCGTCCCAAAGTCAACTACGGTAGTGTGAATTGATCTCTGGTATTGTCTGTGTACTATATATATCCCCACTGACAGGGACGGGCAGTTACAACGTGCGGTTCCTTCTGACCCGCTGTCCCCTTGGTCGTCTGCGTCGCCGTTGGTGCTGCTACTACTGTACCATCATTGAACGGAGAGCCACGGCTCGAGGGCCGCCTACACATTGTCTCATGATACATGTGTACAGTATGAACAGGTTCGAGTTGTACGTGCCGCTCGCGTTGGCTACCCCGCAAAGACGCCTCGAAAGTATCCCGGCTTCCCCCCTGTCTGCATGTGTTCTTGGCTGATCTACCTTGTCAGCGCTTGTCACCCTCGGTCAGGGATACGGATAAGAGCGGAAAGGGGACCCAGCGGAAAGGCTGGAGTGAGGCGCATCTCGAGTGAGGAGCAACACCTTGGCACACGCCCGACTTCGACTCGACGCGGAATACCAAGACCCTTGAGAGGCATGGTGGCAATATTTAATAACTCATCAGAATTCCCCGCGCCGTTCGACATGTCGCGTGCTTCTCTGACCTGGTCTACACACGCCCTGTGGTCGAACATCACTGTCACCACCCCCTTTAAGCCAGTGTCGCCCAGCCCGCCCTTCGACGGTTGGATCTCCATTCCTTTTGACGGACACAACACCGCCTTCACTTTCTAAGAACCGTCTTGTTCGACTGTTGCGCCATGGAACCCGGCACGGTCCACAGGACGATGTCCTCGTCGCTGCACTCGATCGGGGACAAGGAGAAGATAACTTACAACGATGCGGACCTCGAAAACGGCCAACCACACATCCGCGGTCTCGAGACCTCGGCCGACACGGCGCTGCACCGTGGTCTCAAGGCCCGTCACATCACCATGATAGCCATCGGTGGTGCTATCGGAACCGGCCTCATCATCGGTACCGGCAAGGCACTCGCGCAGGCCGGGCCCGGCTCCATCTTCATCTCGTACACTATGATCGGCTTCGTCGTCTTCCTCGTCATGGCTGCTCTGGGTGAGATGTCGGCCTGGCTCCCCATGTCTGCTGGTTTCACTGGATACGCCTCTCGTTTCTGTGACCCCTCGCTTGGGTTCGCACTCGGCTGGTCGTACGTCTTGCATCTCTCTATACTTCTATCCGTCCTTACGTCCCTGGCTAGTTCCGGTATTGGATTTCGCCATTTTGGCGTTTCGCTAGGGACGTTTTGCGCCATCAGGTTGCTTTACAGCTGCTCTAATCGGGGTCACGCTACCTATCTACAGTATCGGAACTGATCGTGGATGCTCTACAGATATTGGATAAAATACATCATCCTCTCGCCGAATCAGCTCACGGCCGCTGCATTGGTGATATCGTTCTGGGTGCCTCGCGAAAAAGTGAATCCCGGGGTATGGATCACTATATTCCTCGTTGCGATCATCGCGATCAACTACTTCGGCGTGCGGTTCTTTGGCGAGTTCGAGTTCTGGCTGTCGAGTTTCAAGGTCGTCGTCATCATTGGCGTCATTCTCTTGTGCCTGATCATTGCTGCTGGCGGTGCCGATGGACACGCTCGAGGCTTCGAGTACTGGCGGGATCCTGGGTGAGTGCTCGACGACTTCCGCTTCAATACAGCTGCAGAAAGGGGAACAGACGGCTTACGGTACACAGTGCGTTCCGACCATACCTCGCGACAGGATCATTGGGACAGTTCCTCGGCTTCTGGTCAACCATGGTCAACGCTACCTTTGCATACCTGGGTACTGAGCTGGTGGGAGTGACGGTCGGAGAGGCTCAGAACCCTCGCGCCACGATCCCCAAAGCCATCAAGCTCACCTTTTACCGAATCGTCTTGTTCTACTGCATCAGCATCCTGTTTCTTGGCATGTGTGTGCCCTGGAACTCCGATTTGCTTGCCTTCTCGGCCAAGGCGTCGAACAGCGCCAGCGCCTCGCCATTCGTCGTCGCCGTCAAGCTGGCCGGTATCCCCGTCCTCGACCACATCCTGAACGCCTGTATTCTGGTATTCGTCTTCTCGGCCGCCAACTCGGATCTCTACATCGCCAGCCGTACGCTCTACGGTCTAGCGTCCGACGGTTCGGCGCCGGCCATCTTCCGCAAGACGAACAAGAACGGCGTGCCCGTGTACGCGCTCGGCCTGTCGTCCCTGTTCGCGCTGCTCGCCTACCTCAACGTCTCCGACGACTCCAAGCAGGTGTTCACGTACTTCGTCAACCTGGTCAGCATCTTCGGTCTGTTGACGTGGATCTCGATCCTGGTGACGCACATCTGGTTCGTGCGGGCGCGGCGCGCGCAGGGCCTGACCAACGACATGATGCCGTACGTGGCGCCGCTGGGCATCTATGGATCGTACGGGGCGCTCACGGTCTGCATCATCGTGGCGCTGACCAAGAACTTCGATGCTTTCATTGGCGAGTTCCAGTACGAGACTTTCATCACCGGCTACCTCGGCATCCCCGTTTATCTTGTATTCATCTTTGGTCATAAGCTATGGACCCGGAGCAAGGGCGTCCGCGCCCACGAGTGCGACTTTTACACGGGCAAGGACGTCATCGACCGCGAGGAGCAGGAGTTCCTCGCTGCCAAGGCTGCGCGCCGCGCCGCCAGGGGCGACTCGAGGGGCGCCGGCTTTTATCAGCGCTATGTTGCCTGGCTCTTCTAAAGCGATTCGGATGACCATAATGATAACTGGAGTAACGGGGCGTTGTTGTTGGCTTTCGCGTATCATATAGACGGCGATGTGGGAGGCGTCTCGGGGCTAAATAGATACCATGTATAGACTTTGATTAAGGAGCACCACACTCAGTGCGTCTGATTGTTTTACTAGATAAATAATACCAATCTTTCAACCAACTGTCACAGGTCCGTTCACGATGCCGTCCTGAGACTGTCAGCCAGCCACATGCAGAGAGCCGTAGGTACTCTCGTCTCGATCTTGGTCAAACCTGACGGGACAGGATCATCCGTAGCTGTTTGGACATCAAAGATTTCTTTTTTCAGTCAGCGCTGGTCACCGCCCCGCCCCCCTGGCGACCAAAGGACTACGCAGGGAAAAGGTTCCTACCAGGTACCCAATCCATCCCCACCCGGCTCCCGAACGGCGACGCCGTGGCTATAGCGCCGCACTGTATCTCCCCTCCCAACTCTTATGGTCCGTGGTCATGAAACAAACCCCTGTTCGGCGTTGTCCCGGTCCCGGGAGAATCCTTCATCTGTTTATAGAACTAAAGTTCTTACTTTTGCGGTACTTGTCAGCCCTGTTTGCGTCAGGATGTGGCGAGAATGATGAAGATGCTGTTTGACAGGTGGGTAACACTGGGGAAATGGGGTGCGATGGATGCTGGTGAGGCGCGCAGGATCGTCGACCTGGTCGCTGTTCTGTCTGCCTCCCGGATCCTACCCGCCACCTTGGGAGCTTGTGGGGGGAAGATCACGGTATTACCGATGAAGGAACCATGTTGCAGAAACTAGTGAGTGCTATGACGGTTTCTGGCGATATAGTGACGGAGTGACGACCGGGTACGTTATGATGAATGGGGTGGACGGGTTATGTTACTTACTGAGGAGGACAGCTAGACACCTACCGTGCTATACTGTAGTGTGCGGCTGCTGGTAGAGGCCGACATATTCTATGGAGGTTATTCAGTGGCTTCACGGGGCCATGATGGGTGGATTATTTCCGCTCTTGGGATGGTTTCTAATGGGTGGATTGCTCGAGTAGAAAGTCGCAATATCAGATCACCGCATTCTCCCTGAGGAAATACACCGCTATGGAACAGTAATGTTAACGATCATTAGGACCAGGTCATCCTCCCAGCGGTAAAGAGGCCGATCCGCAACCCAAATGAAGGCCTCGAACCCCATGAGTTCCATGGGGTACGTCTACTGAACACGGGAAGGACAGGCTCTCAGGTGTGTCGACGGCTGCCGTGTCTTCCCGCGAGAGACCTGATAGGCTCAGCCGGCGAGGTCGTTCGGGTGCGTGTCGAGGGTTAGGACTTGGGTACTACGCTCGTTCCTCGCTGGATGACTCACCTCACCGCAATGTCGGCTGGCGGTCTGTCGTGTTCCTTCGCGATTGCCTGGAATGTGAGATGCCAGGGTATTTCAAGTATTGCGCGTAAGACAAGGGCGTAACTCACCGGGGAATCGTGTTTTGGACCTGGTATGTTCTTGTTCAGTGCCTATCAGGGGATTGGGCGTCCATCCAGGGGCTAGTGCGCGTTGATGTGGATGCCCTCCGCTCTACACAGCGCCAGATTCTTGGGCTGCGGTAGATGTTTATGGCTCTCGTCACCAGGTGCGTCCAGAAGGTCATCTAGTGCTCTGGACGTGCAACTCAAGCTGATGGACCGCAGGTCTATCTTGGGCAGCTCGCAATACTCGCGGAGCATCAGCATGGAGCTGTGCGAAACGCCCGCTAATGTAGAGACAGGTCAGTTTTGGCTTGTCACTGTGAAGTGAACCACGGTATCTCATACGAGGGTGACATTGGCCGCTTTGCGTTCCCAAGATGACCTCCAGCGACCTACCTAAGTTAGATACGTGAATGGCTTGGGAGCAAATGCCACACTACGACAGATTGTAGCGTTGGGATTCAAGTGGGATTCAGTAACAGCAATTCTAGCCGGTATTCGCCCGGCTCGAGGCTGCCACACCATTCTCTCGGTGCTATCCTGCAGGCTCGATTATGAGCGAGTGGAATGCATGGAACCTAAGTGGTGTCGGTGGTGTCATTGCGCCAGGCCCGTTGGCCGAACCCATTCAGCTGTATGCAAGCTGAATCGTTGCATGTTTTATGTGCTACTCGGTACCTTGGGGGCTACGCGCAGCGGTCAGCATGAGTAAACTTCTGTATCTTCCCTTGCAGGAGTAGGCAGGGCAAACATGCCAGGTTTCCATGGACAGGCATCACTTGAACGAGCCATGTTTGCGATATGAACCGCGGCCAAGTACCCCAGTTAATCTACATATCGACCTGTTCCTACCCACACTACCGTGGTCGTCATATGGCATCCGTCGCGGCTTTGTCAGCACTCACTCGCTCCGACCCTGCCAGACTCTCGCGGGCTTCCAGAGTGATGTTGTTAGACGATGTATCTGTGCCCTCACTCATGCTATTCATGGTGACCAAATCGTGAGTCTCCAGGTCGGTTATGTCCCACTGCCCACGTGGTAGCCGAGGCGGTGGCCTACGCCAGGACCGTGAGCTGGGCCGTTGATAGCTGCTAGCCCTGTGCGTCCAAGATCGCAGCAGTGAAACGAAACTGATTGGGAGAAGGGCATGGTCTTGGCGGCTTTTGGGACAGCCGGCATACCTATGATCAGGAAGCCTGCCGCGACCTCGCCAAGGTTCCAGAGACCTACAAGACTCAAGTAGTAGACCTCATCGGAAGAGTCAAGTATCTTCAGGAGGTACACGAAACGCGCAACCCCGCAGCCAACAGCACTGAGTGTGAGGATGGAGGTTAGCATGGCCTGGAAGGGGATGTGCCGTTCCAAAAAGGGCGACTGACAATATCCCAATGACGAACAGTAATGAAACTCCGATCCTTTTAGCCGTTGTCATGTGCAGGTTCCAGATAACCCATTGCGGCAAAGCGAGGATGCCTATGTCGGAAGCCAGGTTGAGAATGGCGGATGCGAAGGAGCCGGAGTTGTTATCATCGATATGACACACACCGCCTTCAAAAAAAGGATCCCAGATCTTCTGTTGTGGCGTGCAGCGGAAGATCTCAAGAAAATGGTAGAGGTATAGAAGATGACGTTGCTCCAGATCAAGGCGTGGATTATCCAGAATATGGCATTGCGCTGGCTCATGGGCACAAAGATGCGCAGCCAGTCGACGAGGATGGCGACCTTGAGGAACAGCATGACGAGGCCGAAGAAGATGGAAGCAATATGAATGAGCTGGTTGAGACGTCAATTAGCTCGTATTGAATATTAGCAGTGGGTGCTTGGCTACTGACATATCGCCAACGCTCGACGTCTTTCATCTGAACGTTCCACTGATGCACCTGGATGCCTGGGTAGATTGAACCAGCATAGTTGACGTACTCCAATCCCGCGAACAGCCCCTTGGGCGTAGTCAGCGGGGAGCCGCCACACAAGAGAGGAGGAGTGAGACGTACAAGAGCGACGACCAGAGCACAATCTTCGACTTGAAACTTCCTCAGCGAGTATCTCGAGGCCAGACGGATGACAACTGCCAAGGTTGAGAAGACAGCGGTGAGGATGTCGACGGCATAGCCAAGCGCATGACTGCCTCCCGGATGGGCGAAGTTGGATTATAGTCCGATAGGGGGATCCAGAGCTGCGCTTTCGAGAATCGCCGTCACGTTCGAGGTTGGCTGGTTAGCTGACATTGTGGAAGAGGCCGGTTCTCGAGCATATCAGTGAATTGAACCCCACAAGCTCGAGTTACTCGAAGTAAGTGGGCAGGCCGGGCTATATATACTACTCGAATAGTCTCAGCTCACACTGGAAGCATGTAGGGCGTGTCAGCCTCCCCGTTACAAGAGTGGCGCAGTTCGGGACAGCCCGGGAGGTGTGAGCGCTTCGTCAGGTATCTACAGTAGGTAGGTCGGTAGATATGTACCTTGAGGATTATTCACATCATGCAGGCTGTGGTATACCTGCGAGGGGCCCTCTATGCATTTTGAATCGTGTGGTACACTGACCCGCCATAAGTCTCCGAGCATCCCCGCATTTACACCAAAATGCCCTACCTTTACGCTTTTATAACTAAAAACTTAAAGCTTTTTAAAATGATATTATAAGGAACTTATATTTGAAAATGCTGAAGTTTTCGTAAATAATTTCTAAATAATTATTTTCTTAGCGACTAGAATAGTAAGAAATAGATATATAAAAATAAAGTTTAAAATCTTAAATCTTAAATCTTAATAAAGCTATAAGAAATGTTTAAAAAGTCTTATAAGTTGTAATAAAGTTATATAATATTAAATAACATGTAATATACGTATAAGATGAAAAACCTTATGTGATAGGTTTTTTTAAAATTAAATATGTTAGAAAGTTATTTTTATCGATAATTTAACCTTTAATAAAGTAATATTTACGACCTTTATCTTTAAGATGTCAAAGTTTTTAAATAAACCGTTTTAATATTCCGGTAAATTTAATTATATGTACTATAAGTACTTAAGTTGTATCTATTTTACTCGATTTATCACGATCGCGTAAAGTTGGGGTGTTTTGGTGTAAAACAGGGATGCTCGGAGACTTATGGCCGGGGAGTGTAGCACAAACGGCTGCCCCGCCTTTCCCCTTTGCACATCCTCTCCTGTTCGATGCTACAAACTCTCCCCCCTTTAGGTGCTTCTGGGTATGCTAGCTCGTCTACCATTGCATCTCCGAGACGATTGCGTCGGGATAGGTCTTCTTCGCGATCAAGACCACTTCCACTGTTTGCTTCCAGACATTAGGAGTCATGCCCGCGTTCCGGCCTCCAAAGAGTTCAGGCGACGATGTTGCGACGACGAAGATTGTCCGAAGGCTTGGGCACAAGTAAGTGGCCTCAAATGCCAGCTGTGATTCAAGCTGACAGCAAATACAGTGAATCATATCAGTTGGGATTATACATGCTAAATCAGTATCGTGGCACATCCGTGTCCGGTCGCTACCAGATCCCCCGGCCCCTTGCAAATCCAGACCAACAGGAGAAGCTCGTTGGCATCGTTGAAGCTGCTCTTTGCGACAACATAATGAAGCATCATGTGCTGCATGTTGGTATTCTGGACGCTACTTCCAGCCGTCCCGCCTTCGTCCAGCTAGACAGCCTGGAACTACGCCAGCATATCGAATGGCAGTTCCTAGATGCTTCGGCCCACTTCGAGGCCGCCCTGCAACATCTGACCGAGATTCAGATAGACGCCCCCTATCCCCGCCTTAACAAGCAGCCTGGCTGGGGAGTGGTCGTTTTGCACCAGAAGGGAGCTGATTTTCTTGAAATCATGTTCACCTGGAGTCACCCGCACGCGGATGGCATGAGTGGCAAGATTTTCCACCAAAGCTTGATCAGCAGCTTTTTCAGCAGGGGGATGAACGACAAGCACCCGGATATGGATGCATATACCCTTGGGCTTCCCCGATCTCTACCCAAGCTTCCTCCGCCCATCGAACAGATCATGTCACTTCCGCTGGGAACGGGGTATCTAGTCAAGATGGTGATAGACGACATCAGGCCACCCATATTGTGCAGAAGCCCAACGTTAGCTCACTGGGCCCCATAACAGCAACGCCCTACAGGACGCACTTCCGATCTTTCACCGTTGACGACAGTGTCCTCTCCCAGATTCTGGCTGCCTGTCGCCAACATCAGACGACGCTGACAGGTCTTTTCCACGGCCTGGTGCTCGCCGCTCTCGCAACACATTTGAATAAAGGAGCTGCGTCTGGGTTTGAAGCGGCCACCACCATAGACCAGAGAAGGTTCGTCCCGTCCGCGCCGGAAGGAAACCCCTGGTTAGAGCCAAAGCAGACCATAGGTAACTTTGTATCCATTATGTACCATACGTTCGAGCCGGAGCTCGTAGCCAAGGTACGATCCGCTGCATTATCAACGCCGGAAGCCCCAAGTGCCGTGTTGTCTGAAGAACTCGCAGCTCTCATCTGGGAAGCCGCCGTACAAGTTCGGAGAGAGGTCTCGGACAAGGTGGATTTGGGTGTCAGGAACGACCTCACGGGGACAATGAGGTTCGTCAAGGACTGGAGGGCTCAGCTATCAAAGGTAGCTCGCAAACCGCGGCACGCCTCCTGGCTGATCACGGGACTCGGCATACTAGACGGAGAAGCACCGCCAGCGAATGAGTCGTTGGAGATGAACGGTGAACCAAGTCCCACAGACTCGTGGAGGATTCGCCGTGCCCAGTTTGTTCTGAGCGCAGAAGTTCCGGGCGCAGCGCTGAACATCTCCCCATTACCGTCAAGGGTGAGCGACTCTGCGTTGGTGGTAGCTGGCAGGATGGCGTCGTTAATGAAGCCCTGGGATGCTCTATCATGGCTGATCTGGAACAGTGGTTGGGGGTGATACGTTAGGGGCTTCAAAGACGACATAGCGGCTCATACCTATTTTATCCCTTTCTGCTAAGCCAACCGAGTCTGGACTGACGTTGCTATTGGCCTAGACGTGGATTTGTCAACGCTAATGGTGAGCGTAGTGACTATGATATTTTCTAGTGGGCCCACTTTCTGTGATACGACGCCAATGTCGACTGCTGTCAGAGTGTACCCCTAATCATGTGAAGACTATTAGTACAGATCACTACACCACACAGGAGATGTGTGTCGGAATTCAGACAGAGCAGTGTCAATTTATCAGATACTCACCGTGGCCCTTGGCTCGAGCTGGCCTATCACCAAACGCAAGTCTTTGTTTTGTATTTAACGTGGGGGGTAGCTCCTCAGTAGTGCAAACCACGCAACCAAACGCAAGTCATGGTCAAGGGCAGTACAGACACCTGCAGCTTGGGAACCCGTGGCCGTCCAGCCGAGTACCATCAAGCATCGTAAATTTCAGAGCCTCGGGCTGCCTCTGGTGCCAAACGAGTGTTTTCAAGCCTACCCCTACGGATGAGCCTCGCTGATGCAACCTCATCAACTGGTACAGGGTGACAAGCTGGCGATACAAGTCCACGCCACTGGAGCCTTGACGTAAATCGACTGATCTGGTCCTCCTCTCTACCCGCCAACTGCACAGTCGTTCATGCTCATGCCCATGAATCAGCATCATGACCACCTTGTTGGTATTTGTAGGAGTATTAGCCAAGCCACTCCCACCCTGATGCTTAGGTAGCCGACGTGCTCCTTCTTGCGTGACCGACGCTCCCCGACGTTGCAATATGGTAGACCACAGCCGCACTGTTGGTTCCGCGGGTTTGCCTCAGTTCTATACGGTGGCTAGCCCCTGGATGCCGTGCCGCAGGCACTGTGTCCGAACTTTGCCTCGCATTTCTCCCACTTGAGTAACCCCATCACGTCTGCAGAGCCGCAATGAGTGCGGAGAAGGGTTCAGTCAGCAAGCTGATGCTTGTGGATGTTACAGTATTACCGGCTCACTTCTGCCTCGATTTATTCTATTTCTAAGCTCTTCGACCGCAAGGGCCTCTCTTCACAGCATGCTTGAGGCGAACGTCAAGGGACAGCTCGATGTACTCTGGCGTGCTGCCCATCTGGTCGACGACACCACACTGGAATAGTTGTCATCCGTCACTGGGAGTTAAGACTTACTGCGTCATGCATCGACGGTACGTCTCTGATCTTCGCGCCCCAGATTGGCGTAAGCCGCCCCCACGGGGCGCAGCAACGAAGGGCGTCCAAATGGGCGGTGCACGCGGGATCTTCGAGGTGGTAACCACTGCGATTGGCTGATATTCCTTGAAGCCTGCAGATATATTGATGCACCCCTGCCATTCATGCCACCCTCCACGACACCAGAGCCTGTCAGACCGGGCTGTTCTGTTGAAGCCTGCCGGGTGTGTCTTACCCAGCTCTCATGACAACGCATTGCTGCAGATTTATGCAGTCTCACGCGATACTGGTCTTGTTGCCTGCCGCGATACAACCTGTCTTTCTTGCCTGGCTGGCTACAGATGCACCAAATGTTCGGAGTCGATCTCCACGCTGGATGGCATAGCACGGCATGTCCGCAAGACTGGTACCACTGTGTGTTCTCCTTCCTCCAAGCGGAGTCAAACCAGTCGCGTTGGTCATCATGGACAGTAATTCATTGATTTCCCGCCGTTGTATGTTCTCTATTGGAATCTTGGCTGGTCACCTACCCAAATCACAGGCTCTGCTAGGTGCGAAGGATAATGTTGCGCATACATGACCTGATGCTCCTGCTCGGGGATCCCTTGGAAGCGCAATGGGGCCGTGATTGGCTCAGGTGTATACACAGGCAGCTCGTATCCGTCTGTACTATCATTCGATCCTCTTTGAACCTCTCCCGCGGAGTTCCTGTGCGCGCTGTTTCGCTCCATCGAAGACCAGCCACTGAATCCATACCAATGCTTCCGAACCGAGGAAAACGCCGGCCAAGTTGTCGGACTGAGTTTCGCTAGGCGCACGAACAGCGGCCAACATATGGGGAGACACGCGCAGACGATGCCCGTACAAGAATGTACTGTGGTCCAGACGGCGGTCCTCCCAAATGAAGGATTGCGATTTCCAGGTGCGTAGCTCAGGATCACCTTGACGATTCCTGAGAATATTACACTTTTTGTCATCAGTTGAATGACCATGACCAAGTAAATGAAGGAGGGATGCTCACAAAATGCCCAAAAGAAACACCGCCGCAACGGCGATCTTCTTGCTCCTACTCAACTGCAGCCCGAAGACCACCCTTACGGGTAGTAGAATGATGGGCACGTCGATGCACGCTTCCACGATACCGCTTACGAGCCAGAATATGTTATAGTTGAAGCAATATCGCGGGTCAACCTGGCTGTTCAGCCACGTCCATTTGATCGGGATGCAGTTCAGCAGATCTGCTATGGTGCATCCGACCCAGAAACCAACAACAGCCACGGCGAGAATAACGACTTGGAGGCGAAATGAGCCACTCGTTGAGAACAGCCGGTTATACATGAGAAGGATCGATAGCTTCGTCGTGGAGGTGATCGTGAAGTAGAGGACCGTTCCAATGAAGTTGATTTTCGTGTACTCGACGTCCGCCGGTGTATACACGTGGCTCAGGTCTACGCCGGACGCCGCTTCGTCGCCGGTCGGGTCGATACCACTCGCTGTCAACGTTCAGCTGCCAAACATAGCTCTGTGCTGATGAATGGGGAAGAGGCATGGTAATGACACACCATATAGGATGAGGACGTCCGTCGCGATCGTTGCTGTTAGTCCTAGTAAGATGAGCCAATCGTCCCACCGGAAGCCGGCTTTGGTGAAATGCCGCGAATAGAATCTTAGAGCGACCAATATCGCAGCAAGGACAACCACGATGGCCCCGACTATGGTCGTTGTGTCGTTATCATTCATGCTGTGAAGCAGCTTGCTATCGAAGGCTCAGAGAGTCTTGGTATAAGTGATCCAGGGGAATGTGGCGCCTCTTCCAGTCGAGGCCCGGTACGGTCATCACCATGACCTGTATATAGTAGCCTGGCTGCACTTTGGCGGCAGACAGGTCTTAGCTGATTGGTTGGTCGATAGGTCGGTTGGTTGCAGGCCCTCAGCATGCCCTCATCGTGAACTGAGCGGAGGGTGTAGGTCTCTGGCGCGGGATTGGCCGTCACTATCCCGCCTCTTGATACATGTGCAGATGGTGTACCTCTAATGTGCAAGTGCCTCTTGATAGATATGCACGCAGAAGATAAAGGAGCGGGGCTTGGCAATATAAAGAGGCTGCGTGGTTACATTGAACCGGGCGTTGCAGTCTGTGGCGCCGTACGACCAATTAATATACGTGCATGATCCTTCAGCACAAACATCAAGTGGATGTTTAAGGTCTGAAACCTGCGACACTCGTCTTTTTCCTCGCTTCCATCCAGTCGAGGCAGCTCTCAGCGCCGACCTCATCTCAGCCTTATAAGGTCGCGACCACATATCGTTCCCAGACAGAACAGGCATCTCGACCATCATTGTCCGCAACACAGAAGACCCCTCGGGTATACAATCAAGGACAGGTGACAACAGCTTCTACCACGGCTGCCTGAACGAAGACTGACGTTCAGCAGAAACTCTAGCTAGTCAAAATGGGGAACTTACTTTCCTCCAACGATTTCCCGGTACAAGGCAGAGTATGCAGCCAGCGTCCGCCCGAATAGTGACCGACATGCTAAAACCCTCGTCAGACCGTGGTGATCGCCGGTGGCTCCCAGGGCATGGGCCTCGCAGCTGGACGCCAGCTTGCCGAGCGGGGCGCAGACGTCGTGATCGTCGCGCGCGACCAGAGCAAGCTGCGCGAAGCGTTCGAGTACATACGGGTACGTGCTCCCTTAAACTACTAAAGCGGCTTCGTTGTGCTCGTGGCTGACCTTCTCATAGCAAGGCGCCCCGGATCCCCAGGCCCAGCGCTTCCTCCAGATCAGCGCCGACCTGACCTCGCCGTCCGAGTCTGTGCGCGTCATCGCCGAGGTAGTGGCATGGAACCATGGGCATCCGCCAGATATCGTGTGGTGCTGTGCGGGCAGCTCGCATCCGACGCTGTTCGTGGACACACCCGTGGCGGAGTTCAAGACCCAGATGGATAGCAATTACTTCACGAGTCTGTACATGGCACACGCGACCATGACTTCCTGGCTCAAGATACCACACAAGAACCTCGTCGACCCCGCCAGACCTGCTTCATCTTCATTGCCGGCGCGCCATCTCATCTTCACCGCCTCCTTCCTGGCATTCTACAGCTTCAGCGGCTACTCGTCTTATAGCCCATCCAAAGCAGCGCTGCGCTCCCTCTCCGACAGCCTGTCCCAGGAGATGAACTTGTACTCTGCGGCCCATCCTAGTGAGCCGCGTGTTCGTGTCCACACTGTGTTCCCTGCCACGATCCTGACGGAGGCTTACGAAGCCGAGAATCTTATCAAGTCCGACCTGACCAAGGTGCTGGAGGAAGGGGACGGCGGACAGACCCCCGAGCTCGTGGCTGCTAGGAGCATCAAGGCATTGGAGAGCGGACAGGAGCTCATCACCACAGATCTGCTGACGGGACTGGTCAAGAGAAGCATGCTAGGAGGCAGTGTACGCGGTGGCTTCTGGAGGGCAATGGGAGACTGGATCCTTGCTTGTGTGATGGGTCTCGTAATGATATTCGTGAGGGACGACATGGATCGAAAAGCAAAGGCATGGGGTCGCAAATTCGGCGCTTCGGGTATGAAGGGAGACGGCAAGCAGGCGTAGACACGGTATCAGGCTCAATACCCTTCATAAGTCCGCGAAGGACTCCCCCTCAGGGTCAAAGATATCAGAAATAACACCATATCATCTCGTGGGAGTGGTACAGTCTCGACTCAAGTCAGAAAGAATGAGCAATGTGTGTAAAATAAGCGCACTGGAATAATAAGGGGGGCGTCGACAGGGCAACGCGTCCACCCCACGGTCCCCACCGGGTCACATGATGGTGTCAGGACCGTTGGAAGAACCGTGAATCCATCAGGACCATCCTGTACTCTTAGCATTGCTTAACCAACCACTTACCGCCCCGTCCTCACACTCACATTCTATAGGCGGTGTATCTGCACGCCGGCCGTAAACCGACCATGACAGGAAGACAGCAGCGGTCGCTGCTGCTGCGGATGCCGCCTCAGGTTCTCTTGAATATCACCAGTTACCTCAGAGTCGACCAAAAAGCCTGCCCCAGAAAATCCCATGGGCAGCCAGGCCCGAGTGTATGGCAGCAGTGCCGGCTGCGATACGTGGCTTTGCTGCGGACCTGCCAGTATCTCAACAACACCCTGTTTCCCGACTACGCCGAATGGGTCTTTGGCAAACTCGATTCCATGCTCTCCGATGAAAGTTTGGACGTGTTCACGGACATTGCCACTTCTCGCGTTGCCATGTATGTATAAAATATGTCTTTCTCAACGGCGTGTATCGGACCGAATTGGAAGGGCCGGGAGATCGAAGAAACGATGAAAGATTTCCTCGGGCGCCACCTGGGCTGTTTTACCGCTCTCGAGGGCCTCAGTCTTAGCTCTGATCTGAATTCAAAGGCTCTAGGCTTCCCCGCCACCTGCGACGCCTGCGGGGACGATGATGGTTTCATCAGGAGGCCCGCCATCTACGTCGACGCCATTCACTTCACCACGCAGGAGCAGGCGGCCAAATCCGCTGATCTCGTCCTATCCAGCATCGCAAGCGCCGGTATCCATCTCAAGTCCCTGGCTCTCGAGGGGCGCCAGCCGCTTGACATCCGCCCCATCATGCAGCAAGAGGACGCAGTCAGGATGCTCGCTGATCTAGACCGTCTCACCCTGGTTGGGGCGCCTCTAGATCAGCAAGGCCTCGACGAACTCCTACCTCTTGCACACAAGTTGACTCGACTCGGAGTAGAAGAAACCCGCTTCCTTCCTGCTTTAGCGTCAACTGGCTTTCGTCGACAACTAAACCCCCGGCGTTGCGTCAATTGGACCTGGAATTCGTGTGGCTCTCGCTCAAGAGCCTGCTGGCGATTGTGCAGCGCTTAGGATCCACCCTGCAAGTCTTGTATCTCAAGGACATTCAGCTCCAAGATTTCGAGGACAAGAGCGAAAATCTGTGGTCCCACTTCTTCAACGCCTTGGCCAAGACCCCGGGACTGGCACTTCGAGAGCTGTCAATCCGTAATGTTTGGCAGTCCACCACGCGAGGTCACAACCCTGTCTCGTTCGACGAGGACCTTGACACGGAGGATGATGTATTCTATGAGGAATTCAAATTGAATATCGAATCGAAGGGGGATCTTGAGGACGTCGCTAAAAACGCCCTTCTGGTTCTGGGCGACTTCTGATTCTGGACGACGGATGAAAATGATTTTGACCTCGAAAGAAATACTGTCAGCGTCGTAAAAGGCTACGAGGTGTTTGGAGGGTTCCACCGCGGCCACGTGAATCCTCTAGTAGATCAGTTGCTACCCAAAGTTGTCTAAGTAGGTAGACTACCTGAGATAGTAATCCAACCCCAACCCCAACGCCTCACACTGCTCCAGCTCCTCGAAAGAGCCCTGAACCGTCGGCCACTGCAACGTCCGCAGCGTCATCCCATTCTTCGTCGACGGCTTCCACGAACCAAAACTAGTCAGTTCCTCCAGTGTCTCGATGTAGCCCCTAGCCGCGAGGTATCCGAAGTCCGGGTTAGGGTCGAACGTCCTCGCGAACGAGCTGAAGGAGTCGAGGACGAACTGCTCGAAGGGCAGGTCATTCTCGTCACGCATAGGCAGGCCCTCGCGCGCTAGGTTACCAAAGATCAAATACAGATCGCCGGAGTGGCACTTGAAGTATTCGCCACTCGGATCACCATTGGGGTGATCGGCGGTCTTGGGCGGTTCGCAGACGTCGAGTCCAGGCCAGCCTGTTGTCTGGTATGTGCGGTTGAACTGGTAAAAGAACACAGGACCGAACCTGTCATTCTGGAGGCCAGCATAGACGGTTGCCTGATCGATACACCGGAACATGCCGTCTGTTGCCAGACGAGTGCTAGAGTTGAACAGAGCTAGTGTTTGGTTGGCAGTCGATGGGACTGGAAATAGGTCTGCAGGTGGTACAGCCCAACCCTGGGAAGCGAGATACATCGACTGGTTGGTGGTTGCCGGGAAGCCGATGATAGGGCCACCGTCGTCCCGAGTTGTGCCTATCATGAGGTGGACAGGAAGGGCGGATCCATTCAGTTGAAGCTCGTCGGATGTGAGGTAGGTGCCGTCCATAACCAGATATCTCGCCACGTCGTCTAGACTGAGAAGAGTGTCGGCTGGGATAGCGCGAAGACAGTCTACTTGAGAGGTGGCGGTCGTGCAGTTGGTTGAGGCGAGTATGGCGTCCCCTGCGTCCACCATTTCCTCCTCGATAGTGAGGTATTCCGAGTACGTCGTACCGTAGTTGAGGCCCCCTAGATTGCTTACCGGTATGGCTCCTGCGAACTTTCCGATCGCCTCCGGAGATGCAATCAGAGCCCTCACGCTGCCCGCCCCAGCCGATTGGCCAAAGATGGTGATCTTGTCTGGGTCTCCGCCAAAGTCTTTGATGTTCTTTCTTACCCAGTTTAGTGCGTTGATCTGATCTGCAAGAGCATAATTGCCATTGGTGACCCCGTCGTCCAGTGCGAGGAACCCGAGCGTTGACAGCCGATAGTTGATCGCGACCACGACAACATCGCCTCTTGATGCCATATTGCCTCCGTCAAAGGTGGCGTCATTGATTGATCCAATAGTCCAACCGCCGCCACTATTTAAAGAAGACGCGTCAGTATTGGTTCCTGGAAGCGAGGAACCTCCCATCATGGAAGGAAGAACGGCGAGCAGATGCCGACTGTTGACGTCGCGATGGAAACAGCTTATCGTGCGATCTAGCGGGTGATACACACCGCTCGCCGAAGTTATCGGCCCCGAGTGCCACTCAGAATAGGAGGGCACTGGGAACGCAATTCGGGGTAGCGAAGCCAAATATTACCCATACTAGATGACACGCCAGGAAATACGTACTATATCCAGAACTAGACGTCAAGGTCAGCTTCAAGCAAATGACGCAGGCTTCGCAATTGCACTCTATCGCTCACCATGACTGGCCTCAGCTTTGTGCCTAGCGATTGAGGCCTTGGTAGGTAACTAGTCCATATATTCACGAAAAGACAGTCTTCGCTACCGATGTAGCTGTAAACCACCTGAGCGCACTCGGAGGCGTATCCGGTCGCAGAAACCTCACTCCCGTTTCCAGTGTATGGCGCAGAGTACGTGAACCGTTTTGGCTGAGGAGCATATCGAACCCCCAGGAAGCGGAAGCTATAGCGATCGCGAAAACTGGACAGTATCAGCCCACTGCCCAAAAGCAAAGGCAAAGGCACCGCGGGCCGTGTCTTACCCAGTGATGTACTCATTATTGGACTGCAGTGTCACCTGCCACTTCTCACTGGCGTCTTGAAATGTCTCGTTCGAGAAAGGTGCCGTTTGCGAACACAGCACAGGAAGCCAGAGGGATGAGTTCGCCAGAGCTGTCTGCCCATTGATATCAATGCACCGCGGAGTTGAGTTCGTCGACGCAATCCAAAACTGCGAGTAGCCTTGGGCAAGGTCTGCGAACTTGATGTAGTTCAAATTCGACTGGATGTTCACCGCAGCTGATTCCGGGGACCATAGCTGTTCACCCAAAGCATGGCAAGAGTTGATGGCATCCGCCAATGACCTTGCTTCCAGAAGCACCACCCCAGAGCTTGGGGCAGGGCTATCGGCTCCTATGTGCTGTGTCAGTCGAGCCTCTCGTGTCCGTTGTCGGAGAGGGGTGTCTTACCTTGCAGGTCATTGTCTACGAGAAGCGTGATGGTAGAGTTGAGTGTTTTTGGGGACGGGGCAGCATCAGCGCCAAATGCCGAGAACACAGCCAATGCTACAATCTCAGGCAACATCATGCCAAATGACTGGATACAACCTAACACGATCGCGGGCGGTGGAAAGAGCACGTTCAGTCGTACCGACCGAACGGGTGTGCCCAGAGATTTCACCTTTAATGCAGAATCTTGCAGCGGACAATTCGTTCTACCATGTGGCAAGCAGTCCAGGGCCGCTACCCCGAACCGTCGCTATGGGCGTCGCGTGGAATCTCCAATTGGAGAGTGGCATCGCACAGTCGAAGCTGCCGGGCTGCATGGGCCGGGTCTGGCCACTTCTGACGTTGCAGTGGCCCCTTGAGCCTGAACTGCCGAGGGCATACGACAGCGACGATCAATAATTCAAACACCAGACTGGATCAAGCTGTCATCTTCTTGTAAGCATCAGTATACATCAGCAGCTGTAGGTCGTCAAGGCTGTTTCCGCTCCTCAAACATTCCCCCGTCTGTTCGGTACAATGGACACGCTGTTGGGGTTTTCATGCTCTTAGAGAAGCAGCGTAATGGAGGTGAAGTCGAGACAAGCTTCAATGAAGCTTCGGTGACATGGAGCATAGCTCGCCTAGGTGTCACGTGGTGTCACAGCAGGATACTGTATACTTACATACGACCGACGTCATGCAGCATTTACATCTCTAGATTCTGGCCTCAACATGCACTTTCCAAATGTTGAAGTCGCTCGATCCACAGCATCATGCCGCCGAAAACAGCACTGCTTGTCATTGACGTGCAAAAGTACTTCGAGTCGATGACTTTGGCCGCAGTACCCAACATCAAGGCCCTAATTTCTCACTTCCAGTCATCGTCAGCACCCATCATCTTCACCCAGCATGGGCACTCCAAGGAGGAGCTCACAACCAAGCCCTCGCCCAACCAACTCGTGCGGAAATGGGGCGCCTCCGGCTCGATAGCGTACGGCAGCGAGGACTGGCAGTTCCAGGACAGCATCAAGAGATACACCACTCAGCCGGGATGCACGTTGGTGGCCAAGAATACCTACGACGCATTCATCAACACCAACCTGGCGCAGGTGCTGGAGGAGAAGGCGATCGAGAGAGTCGTGGTCTGCGGGGCCATGACGGATTGCTGCTGCGATACGACGGCGTATAGCGCGTTCAAAAGGGGCTTCGAGACGTGCCTGGTGAGCGACGCTTGTGGGAGCGCGAATAAGACCCAGCACCAGGCCGGACTCAGGGGCTTCGGGTTTGCTTTTTGGGGAGGTACTTACGACTGAGGAAGCGATCGAGTCGCTGAAGGACGGGGAGTAACCTCGCTGCGGCTGTGTTCTATACTGGGTAATACCCGTAGTCTTCAGTCTCCAAGATACGGTGGTCGCGGTGTGGTTTGAGCCTTTGGTTTTGGGGCACTTCAGCCAGAGCATTTTCCGTCGATGTCAGTTTGTCATGGCGAATGGCCAACATTAGGTAATTTTTCTCGGGCTTTCTGTAAGCAGGTTCTCCGTTCATCTTCCACAGCGTACTGACAATCTGTTTCCAGGGTCTGGTTATAGAGACAAGAATGTGGCCGCTATAGGCGGACTTATCCAAGATTGATGGCTGAGTACATACATAATCACCGTGCGGATAGCATCCCAGTATACACCGTGCGATGCGTTGGCGCGCAGTCTGTGAAGCGGTCATACCTCTGATAGTCTGGGCGGATAGGAGATTATGGATAAAATGGTAAGAGAGTTGAAGTTGACAGAAGTAACGCGTAGCAGGATATCTGCGTCATGACCAGCTGCAACGAAGAAACCTGAAGTTAAGTCTACCCGGATGCCGTTTCGGATGCTATCGGGCCATTGTACGATCTACGGAGACCTCGTCGTCTCGGGACTCGGAAGGCCCGGTTCGTAAAGCGAGCATATGAGCTGACATCGTAAGTATGTACGCAAGCAAGCACGTGATGGAGCTGCCTACAAAAAGCCCTCCTGGTAATGGTATCAGCCGGTCATACGAGCTTGTTGGCATGAAATGCAGATGCAGAGAGGTCTATAGGAATTGGAAAGCTTTCTTCTAATGACCCTCTGAGGGATCTTCAGACACCGAAGCAGCTGGAAGTCAGTCAGTAGGTAGGTGGGAATGCTAGCTGCCATGTGACATGCAGGAATCATGGTCTGCTCTATGTGCACTCTTTCTACAATACTGGTCCCCCGAGCATGAGCAGTCTCCTGTCAATGATCGTCTTCAGGCAATTGCTGGGGCTTATTTACAATGCCACCACTCCGATCCCCAGCCCCCGCGTCCTTCTCCGTATGCACGCCCTGGTCCGGCGCCGACCCGGCCTTTCCGTTGGGGCCCTCCTCCCTCACGCCCGTGGATTTGCTCGGCGACTGCTGTGGATCGGGTTGTTTGGCCGGGTGGTCGCGGCCTTCGCCGGAGACCTGCTCTGCTTGAGACCCGTGCTCTTCCTTCTGGCTTGCTGAGGGGTCGTTTGATTTCTTGGTTTGGTCTGCTTTCACGGCGCTGAGGGGTGTGGTGGTTGAGAGAGGGCGGGAGAATGAGTTGCGCGCGGTTCGGAGGGCAGAGCGCCGGGATAAGGATATGATGGGATTCATTTCGCGTTCTTATTTGTTATGCTCTGTTTCGAGGTGGGTTGAATTGGAATTGCTGGTGGTCAATGAGTGTTGACGATTAGGAGTAGTCTGGATGAGTTCAGAGCATGAAGTGAGACGTAAGTTACATTCTAGGCCCGTATCCGTGATGCGCTCATAGACACGTCATGACTCCAAACCGCAAACTGAGGCTCACGTCCACTGTTCGACGAAATTTGTTTATTGATAACTTTTTAGCAATATACGTGGGATAATTATACGAATTCAAAATAACAAGTATTTATAAAATAATTGCGTAATATTTGTAGTGGTTGTGATTACTCAGCTTGCGACGTCCACCTCACCGGCGACCCGCTCGATAAGCTGACGAACACTGGCAGCTTGATGAGGAACAACCATGTTAACAGCTAGCCATAAGGAGGCAAGACGAAACGCGAGTACAGGGGGGGAGTAATTGACCGATGACTCACGAGAGGCTATATATTATCCACCAGAAGTGAACTTATTGTTCTGCAGTCAACTCAGAACGCCCCTTCATATCGGGGTTCAATCACACAGCTTACAACCTAGTTCCGTACGAAGACATCAGACAGACAGAATGAAGACATTCATCTTCCACCCCTCCGGCGCAGCCATGATGTATCTGGAATTTCCAGGCACCGGCCGCCCACTGCTCATGATCCACGGCCTCAGCTGTGCCTCCTCGTTTGAATACCCGCACGTCGCCCTCTCGACTGCGCTGCGTGGACGGCACACCATCCTCCTCGATCTGCCGGGCTATGGGTATAGCGACCGCCCGGCCGACTTCGGCTACAGCACGAGCGACAGCGCTGACGTTGTTGCGCGATTCGTGCGGGAAAGGGGCTTTGAGACGGTCGATCTGTACGGCCACAGTATGGGCGGCTCGGTCGCTATTGAGGTCGCTGACGTCTTGGGCTCTCTCGTGCACGCCCTCGTGATTTCCGAGGCCAATCTCGAGGCTGGCGGCGGGGCTGGCAGTCGCATGGTCGCTGAGACAGTCGGTGGTGAGGAGGCTTACGTCGCGACCGGACACGCAAAGATCATCGGGATGTTCGAGGCGGAGAAAAGGCACCAGCTCGTCGCGACAGTGCGCGCTACTTGTCCAAGGGCTGCATTCCGCTCAGCTAAGTCTCTTGTGGACGGGGTCTCACCGAGTTGGCGGTCGAGACTACTCAAGCACTCGGCGCGGAAAACGTCCATATTCGGGGACAAGTCACTACCTGATCCCGACTATGAGTCTTTACGGCTAGAGGGTATAAACGTGCCCGTTGTTAGCAATGCCAGTCATGACATGGGGTGGGAGAACCCCGATGAGTTGGGGGCTATCATGGCTCAAGCGACAGCTTGAAGCACCTAACCGCTATTCCTTGGTCGAGACGAACTTAGAGCTGTATGTCAAGAGAGATATTTCTATGGGCTGGACCGCGTTGAGACAAGTCTGCACCGCGTTGAAACAAGTCTTGACTCATGCACACTATTACAGGAAATCTATCATCGTCAACATCTTGAAGCCACGAGGTTGCGGATATCCTGCGGCGGCCTGTCCTGGCGCACTTTAGCCAGCAGCGCACCCTTGCCGGAGGTCCCCATGGTCCGGGGAACGAAGTGCGCCCCAGGGTCTTGTTCCAGACAGCCGAATCAGACGAAGAGAGGATCGACATTGCGGTGCAAACGCTGGCGCTAAAGGTGGCACGAGCGATGTCCATCGAGGTCGACGAAGTCGAAAAGGACCAGCCGCTTCATGTCTTTGGTGTCGACTCGCTGGGCGCCGTGGAGTTGAGGAACTGGATGAAGAACGAGTTTGCTGCGCAGGTTCCCGTCTTTGAGATTACTGGGGGCAAGACGATTGAAGTGATTGGAGAGCTGATATGCAAGGCGAGTGAAATAAAAAGGGTGGATGGTGGGTAGTGAAGATGGAGAGGGATACGCGGAAGAACATGCTGACGCAGAGCGTTTGTGAACCTGATCTTATGTTTGCCTTTGTTCATTATTTCGAGGCCCATCATTTTCTCTCAGGCTGCTCTCAAGCTCGACCCTATCAAAAGCTATGCCTTGGCCTTGACAGATGGACATGTGTAGGGGCGAGTGCTGAACAATGGACACCTTGGTTTATACCAGGCAACTTTATGGTAGAAGCTTGATGATTACATTGCGTAGCCACAGTAGCTCACGATACATATATACAACGTCTCCAAGATGCTCGTACAGTGCTGCAGTCCCATCAACGCCCTTGTCGAAAAAACCAGTGACCGCCGCCGCCTTTTCTGAACCGCCTGTCCTGTGACCTGACCCCCCTTTTGTACAAGTAATGTTATTTACAGTAGAAACATGTGTCGAACAGTAGGTAAATAATATGATACATCTTCAGAGCCCAGGCCGGGAGTTCTTCCAGCGCGAGGTCGGCATTGGCTCAAAGGTCCACTGCCCTCCGTCGTAATTATGTCGGGAGGAAGTGAACTTCGCCTCGAATGGTTCGTACATGTGTGGTATTAGTTGAGCTTGGGAGCTGTACGGCACCAGCTTCCTCTGCCTAGGTTTCCTAACGGTGCCTCCTGTTGAGCCGCTACCGGAGGTCTTCTTCTGATCCTTGAGGATGTCGCGGAGTTCCTTTTCGTCATTGGTGATTTGTGCCTTCAAGAATCGTAAATCTTTGGGGTCCTGGGCCGCCAAGCTCTCCATTACGGGTATTCTTGGGGTATATTCGATGCCCTTCAGATTTGGGGCAAAACTCGATGGAACGATGCGTGGGTCGAGGTAGGCCTGGTCCCCTTTCTCGAGCAATTGATTGACATCTATGCTCTCCCCATGTGGTATGGGCGTCGAATGGCTGGGCGTCACACAGTCCATGTCCACCTCTTTGCGGAGGACATGATCAATGTCGATGGCCGAGAAGTAAGCACATGACTGAGGGAGGTCGTTAATGCCAACTTGTTGGGCAAACATAGCCCGCGTCCAGAGGTTAGCAACTTGAAGTGCCATCGCAGCTCGGTACTTGTCTTCGTTTTTGACAAGGTACCGGATCTCGTCGTGCACAGTGATGGCCAGACGGGCATCGATGTTGAAGCGCCGGGTGAGATAATCCATGGCGACGACAAGGAGATGGAGATAATCGACGCCAGACGATTGGATGGCCCAGTTGATACGTGAAGTGAGATAGGCGCCCTTACTGATAAAACGACCCATCAGGGCCTCGGTGATACCAGCTCCAAGCACTGGCGTCCGTGGGCGTTCCTGTTCCGCGAATTCCTCGAGCTTGTTGAAGACGAAAGACTCTGTACCGCCTCTCCAGAAAGGTCTCTTGTGTAGCTGTTTCCTGTTCGTTTTTGTTCCCTTTGTCGTAGTATACAGCTTGCCAGCTATATCGAGCGTTTCCTGCTCCGAAAGACTAGGATTGAACTGCCTTAAGAGGGTGGCAGCAAACTTGAGTCCGGCACCGTAGATTCTGCCATAGTTGAACACTTTGGCATCATTACGAGTTATCCCAAGAATCGAGGCTGTGCGAGAGTGAAGATCTGTGCCGGCAGCTTTGGTGCCTTCGAGGGTCATGAAGCCGATAGCGTTACCTCCGTGAAGTTTGAACGTCGAGTCTCCAACAACGCTAGCAATCCACAACTCTTCAGAATCGACATCTGCACCAACAAAGGAATACCCGGGCGGTGCTTTGACCATGGCCTTCAATTCGGAACCAACCCTATTCTTCTTTGCGTTGCTGGCCGTCAACCAGGTATTCTCAACTGCTCTCCGGGTAATGGTACCCATCGGGATGATTTGCGGTAAGATGTAACCCTGATCATGGTCATTCGTTTTCCGGCCCGGTGCTTTCGCCGCAGAGGGGTTCTGATCCTTGTAGACAACCATCTGTGACATGATTCTGTCTCGTGCACTGATCCAATACGAGCATGACGAATTCATGTCGAGTGCCTCTTTTGCATACGTATACTCCGACGATAATATGCCCTTTTCGAAGTAGCTGAGGTACCCTTTAGCCAGCGGGTTCGCACATCGCGAGGACGGTCCATCCTTGTGAGGAAGCTTGATGAACAGACCATCTCGATCATTCTTCAGAGCTTCGATCGGCTCATCTGAGAGGTCACACCGGACTAGTTGGGTCGAGTCGTATTTCGAGGCGTCTGACCGTGGCACTCTGAAAGCCCAACCGTACTTATCAGACCAGTGCAACGGGTACCCATCCCATGCAAGTCGTAGCAGAAGAGGCGCGATTCGTGTTCTGACGCTAAGGTTGATCGGCGCATCATTCTTCTGAAACAAGTCCTTGTACCACTGCGGCATGCCAGGTTTCTTCTGTCGGGCTGCCGGCCTCGGCGGATCGTTCTTTTTCTTTCCTTTGACCATCTTGATCTCTTGGCCCGACCAGTCCAACTGCTTCAACCACGGGTCATTGCTCCACTTCGGCTCATCGTCCTTGATCTCCAGCGCCTTGTCTGTCAGGCCGATCAGTCGCTCCTGGACGGCATCGGACAGCTTGTGGTATGTCGCCTCGGCATTCGCGATGTATGCATCCCATGATTTGTCGACAGGTAGTATAACAGACGAGAGTTGCCGTAACGCAGCAAAGCTGACAGGATGGGGGCAGGTCTCGAGGAAATTTGGAAAAACAGTCTTGTAGACTCGGTGAGTGATTGCTACGTCGGCCGCGCAGTAATCGAGAAGTTCGTCCAGCTTTGCTACCACGCCTGCCCGATCCAATTCGCCAAAGTCGTTGCGAGCGGCCTTGTCGATGGCAACATTGAGATGAAACTTGGCGACATCCCGAAGGGAATTGACGGAGCTGCGATCGACCCAAAGTTCTTCCTCATCCTCGCGCATGGTATTACTGGCTAGAAGGGTTGCCAATTCCATATCTTGCGTCTCATTGGCGATCTTGTCTCGAAGCTCCCTGCTCTTCTTGTGCTTCATCCACGTGGGTCGCTGCTGGGAGCACATGCCGTTGACCGCCACGTGTAGAGACATGGTATCCAGAAATGAGTTCCTTGTCTGCTTCAGATCATACTCCTCGAGGATCCTGGCTCGGTCGTAGCCTATGTTGTGTCCCACGATGATTCGGTCCTTACTTGGGTCGCCCAACGGAATCAAGTGTTGGTCAGACTCGGACTCGCCCAGCAGCCACGGTGACAACCAGGCGTACCACGCGGTCGGGCTCATCGCACAAGCCATGACAGCGTACGAGCTTTCCTTCCACATGACCTCGACGTCAAAAGACAGCATGTTGTCGTCGGGAGCCTCGACCATCTCGGTCCGGCCGTCCGGGTAGTATTTTGTCCAGCCGCTGCGTCTCACCCATTTCTTTGGTCGCGAAGGTCCATTATCTCTCGCAAACTGCTTCGCGTAGGTCAGGAACGGCTCGGCGCAATCGATTCCGAGCTTGTAGAAGTGTTCGTCCATGGTTTGCCCCTGGATCGGGGGTATGTCGAAAGCGATTGGTGCATTGTTGTCGGTGTTCTTGCCAAGCAGATCGTGACGGCGCAGATGGTCTTTCGACAGCTCTACTAGATCTTTCGGGGGAGGTTGGCTACCGTTCGGGAAGATCTGGTCGTAGACGTGGGAGCTAAGATGTTGCACGCCTATCTCATTGAAACGAGCATCGGATGGAACTATATTGACTTTAGATGACTATCAGAGTGTCTTGGTGTATTGCGACTGACTGGCAAGGCTCCTCGAGCGCGCACGATCCGAGGCTTCAGTCGGCGTGGTTTGCGCGACTGCGGCGACAGTGGTCTGCCATCTCGAATGCGCCAGCCATGACTGCCGACCACGATATTGGTGATGGCACTGCGGGCGATGTCTAGCAAGGCGCACGAAGCTCGCAGTCGATGCGCTCCGTAAGTGGCCCTTTGCAGGATGTAGCATTACTACCGCATTTCTCGAAACATGTCGGTTTGGCCAAACCTGTGTGTCGAGTCGTGGACTTTCTTCGTTGGGGATAAGATGGAAGACGCAGACTTCATGACGAAGACGAGTCCGATAGGTTCGATTGGGCGACGCGAAATTTGCGACCAATTCGGCCACCTTACTGGGGGGGAAGTGGGGGGTCGCAGCGGCGATAAGGGGCTAAGGGGCTACCTTAGACGTCATCAGCTGTCAAGTGCCCCGCAGCTGTTTGACAGCTGGTGGGCAATGTCCTCATCTTCTGCTTCGGGTTCAACCATTGCGATTTGAGTCGGCGATTGCACAACTGCCCCCGTGTTCACATACACAATACACATAGCTGCTGCCCTTTGCCACCCAACGACTCGACCGCAAACCTTGCCGCTCAAGGCAAAACGAGGCGAGGTTCGCCAGTGTCCCATTGGCAAGACTCTGGTCGAGACATCTGCAAGGATTGTCTGGTTGTCGTTGTCTCAGTACGAGTAAGACAGGGAGGGTCTGGATGCTAGCGCTGAGAGCCAAGCCGGTCACCCACGGCAATCATCGCTGTCACATCTGACGAGCCAACGTTGTCGATACTACTAAGTTGGAGAGGAAGCCCGTCCAGACAAGCAGAAGCAGCCAACTCCTAGGACTCGGGAGAAAGAGTCCGAACAGCTGTAGGCCGTTTTCGGGCAATGCCTATGCGCCCCTAGATCTTTATTCTGTATTTGGACGACATCTCTTCGTTCGTAGTTACTGAGCACCACTCGATGATGCCGCGTGCGCGCTTCTGTCGTGCGCCCCGTGCACAATAAGTCAGCGATGGGTGAGCAGAGCTGTTATTTGCGATCGCCAACATGACACGGTCCGGAATCCCGTCATGGGGCAGTCGTATTTGGCCGAACGAGCGATCGATAGCTCTGTGCCAGACGAAGAGTCTCAGTCACCGCTCTAGAGACGCGCGACATTCACTGGGCATCTGGTCAGCGGTCTCGAGTCGAAACGATGGGTCGTCCCGCCTCCCGAAACCGTTGGGAGTCGACAGGCAAACTGGAGTCGATTATCTGACCGCTGCCGTCGATTATGCAGCCTCGCGAGCCACGAATCAGCCTCAACGCCTTTCACTGGCAGTGTCGCGGGTGATCAACGCATGAAAAAGACTCGGAGATTCAGAGAGACTGGTGATAACCTGCGGTGCCGAGACCTGCGCGTCCTGTACAGCTGGGTTTGCCGGCCTGCAGAGGAAATCGTCACCAGAGCATGTTTAGCTCAGCTCGTGTCACCGTTGAAGGTCACACAGAAATCAAGATCCTGCACGCTGCTATGCTGACAGGACAGACAGGACAGACACGACGAATGTTACACTGGCAAGTTGGAAGACGATGCAGTCATCGTTGTACACGATGGGCCTCGAAGGCCTCCACAATTCATCAAAGATGTGTCTGTAACGGGTTTCGGATTGGACTCTCGCTACGGCCGTGGAAGCGACAGCGCCCCTGCTGCCTAATGGCATTGCAACTGCACGACATACCTAGCTTGGTCGCATCAAGGTGAGGTCAACATGGACATAGAGGGAGGGAAGTAACGAGGACATGGAGGTTTGAGTCGGAGGATATATATCTCCTTCCTCCAACCTGACTGGAACCTGTGTAGAACAGAACGGTTCTTGCTCAACAAGATCATGGTAGAGCCCTACCAACTGAACTATTGCTAATAAGATATCATGGATACCACCCGTTTCTCAACGTCCCCAAGCCATGATGCAGATGGAAAATCACCGCATACTACCCATGTCCGAAGAGGCGATTTCGATGAATTCGACTGGCAGTACTCCGATGCAGCTGCGAAGCCTAGCCCCGACCTCCACGTAACCAGCATACAGGACAGCGCCGGAAGAGATGCGTCCCAACACGATACGAGCGTTGGCAGCAGTGACCTGGAGAAGAGAAGCCACGAAAATCCGCGATCCCAACTGTTTCTCGGGAAGCCGATGAGTATTGCGCATGAGATGGCTTTCTTTGCTGTGGTATCCACAGCCAACTTTACGCCTCGTCAGTTTACCCCTTTTCTGTCTTCATCCGCTTGCTCGCTAGCTCGCCCATTCACTCCTCCACTCTCTCACACAAAACCTTTGTTGTCTATCAACATGCCACGAAATCTCTCTCTTACATGCACTCCCCATCATCCTGCCGTACTAAATAACTTCACCTAGACTCCGGCTTCCACCAGACCCTCTGCATCCTCCACATCATCGCCGCCGACATCAACGCCACTGCGCCAGGCCAGCGCGTCTGGATCATGGCCGGGTACGGCCTCACAGTCGGCACCTTCATCCTGCTCGCCGGCCGCCTGGGAGACGTATACGGCTACAAGCGACTCTTCCTCATCGGCAACGTCTGGTTCGCGGTCTTCTCTGTCCTCGCCGGCGCGGCAGCCTTTGCACCCCACGACGCCCGCTTCGCCGTCTTCCTGTTCGCGCGCGTGCTGCAGGGCGTCGGCCCCGCCCTGCTCATCCCGAATGCGGTGGCTCTCATGGGCATTACGTATGTGCCGGGGCCGCGGAAGGCCATGCTGTTTGCCATCTTTGGAGCCATGGCGCCGGCGAGTGCCATCATATCGCCAGCGCTCACAGCGCTGGTGACGCAATTGGCCTGGTGGCCCTATGCGTTCTGGGGTCTGGCCCTGGTGTTGGTGGGCGTGACGGTCGCAGGCATCTACGTCATCCCCGAGGGCGTCGAGAGAGAAACACCAAGGATCCGCCCAAGCGGCCTGCGTGCCCTCTGCGCCGAGCTCGACGTCCTGGGCGCCGCGACCGGCGTCACGGGCCTCGCCCTCATCAGCGTGGCCTGGAACCAGGGCTCCCTCGCGGGCTGGCAACAGCCGTACGTGTCCGTGCTCCTGGGCCTCGGGCTCCTCCTCTGCGGCGCCTTCGTGCTCGTGGAGCGGCGCGCCGCCAAGCCGCTGATCCCGCTCGAGGCGCTCAGCTCGGGCGTCGCTTTTGTATTAGCCGCCGTCTTCTGCGGCTGGGGCTGTTTTGGTATTTGGATCTACTACGTCTGGGGCTTCTACGAGGTGCTGCGCGGCGCGTCGCCGCTGCTGGCCACGGCGTGGCACTCGCCCATTTTCGTGTCGGGCATCGCGGCCGCCATCACGACCGGGTTTGTGATTCACCGCGTCGGGCCCGCCGTCGTCATGGCCATCGCGCTGCTGGCGTTCACGGCTGGCTCGGTGCTGATCGCGACCGCGCCCGTCGACCAGTCCTACTGGGCCCAGACCTTCCTGTGCAATCTGGTCATCACCTGGGGCATGGACCTCAGCTTCCCGGCCGCGACGCTGATGCTGTCCGACCTGGTCGCCGCGGAGCACCAGGGCATCGCCGCGAGCCTGGTCACTACGGTGGTCAACTACAGTGGTGCGCTGGCGCTGGGCATCGCGGGCACCGTCGAGTTTCACGTCAATAATGGCGGGACGACGCCGGGGGATATCCTGAGGGGGTATAGGGGCGCTTGGTATGTGGGCATTGGGCTGGGTATTGTTGGATTGGTCGTCAGTCTCATTTTTGCATGGAAGTTCTCGAGGCGGCAGAAGGGGGGCGCTTGAGCAGAGATGTTCAGGCATTGGGATGGTTGACGGGTTCGTCCTTCATACTCGATTCAGCAGCAGCAGCAGCAGCATCAAGCCGGTTTCTTTTCTTCGTCTGCGCTCCAGACATCAGGCGGTCGGTGGTTTTCTTGGAGGAACATTGTACCCACCGCATACATCTCGGAGTAACTATTACCGTACTGTACCTAGAATTACAAGCCACATCAACAACATCCCAAGTTCATTCAACGTTATTTCTTAAGAATCCCAAGCAAACGAGAGAAACTAAAATGAAAGCGGTCTGCAGTCCCTCGAACGCCTCAAGTTGGGCCGTTTGCTGTTAGCTGGAGGTTTGACTCCCTCCCAGCCTCGCCTCGACTGCCGCCTGCATGCATGTAGCATTGCGGGGCCAAGCTGGTGAGACCTGACAGATATCTATGTCCTTTCTTGGCTTCCCAACGAGAAATCGAGCCTTGCCCATTTTCGAAGTCTTGTCTCGGAAGACACGATCATTTGACCTGCCCTGCTGGTGCCAACAGTGCAGTGCAGCAACTGTACGCAGCGAGTTGGTTGAAGCACCAACCTTGGGACTTTTGGCCTCGTCGGGATATGCGGTCATGATGCAGTGCGCCTTTTCCGATACCACGCCCCTCGAGCGGCAGGCAGTTGGCCATGTTTTGGCCTCTTGGGGCGTGCGTGTAGCAGCAGAGCTTTCTTTGTGTGCTGAATTTGTGGCGGCCAGATTCTGTCCAAAACCCAGCAGCTGTTGCCTAGGTATGCAGATTGCAGGTGCTGCGAGGCGTTCGGAATCCTGGTCTTTGAGCTACCATCGTAAGGAATAAGCTCGTCACCGAAATTCAACTCCAAATAATGCCCTCCATGTTTGACAGCTACCTCAATTATAGCAAGCAACTCATGCTCGGGACATCAGATGGTCGATACTTTGCTGTACTGGGACACGAAGCGACAATGGAAACAGATTATTGAGTCCGAGCTTCAGCTGCCACACAGTAATAAGAGGTTGATTCTGTGTTGGTCAATGGGTAGCGGGGGCTTTGATACCGGACCGGTACACTCGAGCTCCTCTGCGGGATTATGGTGGTCATGATATTATTCGACAGGTCACATACAGTCGGACTGCTACACGGTTCCCCCGTGTATTCAGCATACATCGCAAGTTGATCACTTCCCATCATTTGGAGGTTACGAGGAAGGGTGCTGAATATTCACCATGCTGCGGGTCCGCACCTGCATATGAATTGAAGATAGGAGCTAGATGTAGTTGGTAGCCGTTACCCCCCAACCAGCATCGGCTCCCCCAACCAGCACCGGGCTTCCAGAAGGCTGGTCGTACGAGGCTCTGAGCTAGTACCTGATAGTGCCGTGTGATTGCGTTGATATCAGCAGAGATTGTTGTGACCGGCAAACGGGATGTGCAGGGAGATTTCGGGTGAGTGATGAGATGCGACAGAGAGGCTGAATGGCATACGGCGGACAATTTTTATAAAGTAAGGAGCGTGCCTGCCAACCTGCCTCCTGCCGCCAGGAACATTGAACTTTGACCCGAGAGGAGATACGCGGGTATACAGTTGCTGGCTCGTGCCTATTCACCCCACCCTCCAATCAGAAGCCGAGGTCCGAGCTGATATACCATCACCACCTCTCTTTTCGGGGTTCACCTACGTCAAGTCCCAATCATAACACTCCGTTTCGTGAAGGATCCTGGTTTGGAATCGCCAATAGGAATCTGTACCCTCAAAATTCCAGTCAAAACGGCGCTCAAATCAGCCTGAAACCCTGCTCGAAAGGACAAAAGGAACATCGGTAAGGTACCTAACAGAGCAAACCTAATGGATCCCCGGAGAAACAACGATCCCCACGGCCGAGAGCCCAGCCCGCCCAACTGGTACTCCAACGTGGGCACCTCTAACATCTGGACGAACCCCCAGAACACCAACAATACCGGTGGCAACACTGGCAACCCTCACAACCCCCTCGATGTCGATGTGAATGTGAATGTGAATTACCACAATTACCACTTCGATCGCTACCACGACCATTTCCCCTTGCTACGGAGCTTCCATTCAAATCCTGCCGCATGCTTCGGCCACTTGCCACCGCCACCGATACCGATACCAATACCACAGTTACCGCCACCGATACCCATTGTCTACCCCGACCGACTGCCAATACCGGCCTTCCCTTACCACGACTTCCTGCCGGGTCTGCCCAGTCCGCATAGTCCGCATACGCCTGCGTATCCATGGGAACAACAACAACAACAGCAGCTCATGCCTATGCCTGCATTTAGTCATCATCACCATCATCACCGTGCACATGGTCCCTGCCATTGTGCCCCGCCGCGGAATCACCAGGCTCAAACATCGTCTTCCTTCCTGAACGACTTTCAGGACTTCCCCGACCGCGACTACTCCGGCCGAGCACCTTCCCCCGATGTGCTGCCGCGTCCCAATATAACCCACCAAAACCCATACCCCACGTTCAACAACCAGTCCAGGCCAGGCCAGGATACCCACAACAGTGACGACAACTATTTGGCTGCCTTGGGCGGTGATTTCTCCTCTCCCTCACTGCCACCCCTCAGCAGCAGTCCGTTTCAACCGCCGAGGCCACAGTCCTTGTTCAATCTTCCCGAGCCTCTGGAAGTCGGCCAGGACATGCCAGCTACGAGACCAAGAGCAAGCAGAGGAGACGCGGTTGAGTCAGTTGACCTGACGAAGGAGGAGCCCGACTACAACACATCCGGAATCGATCTCTCGACACCTACCCTAACGATGCCGACCACCAGAAGACAAAGCGCCGTAAGTGCTGCCAGATCTACGGGTTCGCCCGTACGAAAGAAGAGACGAAGCTCTACATCAGGTGCTGGACGAGCAAATAAGGTTCGACGGAGAGAAACCACCACGATAGAACCGATCGCCTCCCCGTTCGACGATGATGACGTCCTCAACCCTCCCGCCCACGAAGTTCACGAGACCATCGACCTGTCCAACGCGACTGAAGTCCCGAAGGAGCTTATGGTACCCAAGGTGGATAATCGAACCAAACTGGGCCATTTTCAGTGCGTCATTTGCATGGATGATGTGACTGCACTGACTGTCACCCACTGTGGTAAGTTTTTGTGCGCCAGTATCGCCTGTCTGACATGTGAGGAGTGCACGTCCCGATCGCTAACCCAATCTCCTCTAGGTCACTTATTCTGCTCCGAATGCCTCCATTCCGCGCTACACATCGATAATATGAAGCGGACGTGTCCTGTCTGCCGTACCAAGATAGACGCGAAGGATAAGAAGGGAAAGAACACAAAGACATTTTACCACCTGGAGCTGAAGATGATGACGGCCACCAAGAAGGGGAAACGTCCCGCCGGCCTATAAGACACAGTGTGTCTAATAGCATCCCCGCCCTCCTGACGTGGTGAAGACGCAGTGGAGTCGGGGTGTATTTCAGTGCGAGGGTATAACTGGAACGGACTTCAGGTTTGAAGCATGGGTCTGGCTGGCAACCTGCGGGTCAAGGCGATGTTGCACCAGTCTGCCTGCAGTAGAGCAAAGTCGACATTCTCAACTGGGCTGTCTTCGAAGTGCACAGTTGAGCCTTCTCGCGGGATTCAGACAGGAAGAAGCATCGATAGAGGAGCATCCACACGGCCTACGGTATGGTTCTAGGAGTCATGCATCGGAAAGGAGTTTTGTGCTTGTGCCTGAGGAGAGATACCCATTTTCTTACTTTCTTCATATGGGACATGCCGGTTGCTTCGCATTTGCCTGCTCCCAAGTTGGGGCGATAACAAAGGAGTCGCCTATAGTGTTACGATTAAGAGATACACTACAGCAGAGCGCAGAAGCCCCCCGAGAGCCCTGAACGGTCTCGACGGGCTAGCGGAGTCTACGACATAGCTACATTAGGTAGGTAGCAATCAAAATCGCGAATGTCTTTGAGCCGAATGCATTGTCCTAACTCGGTAGCTCTACCCAGTGCAGGTCTGCATGTGTTAATGTGTGTCTGGTTTATTTACTGCTGTCTTTTTCTGACCCCAGTCGTCGTTAAGTTACTGACGACCGATATGGGCATGAATCTCGAATTTTGGGAAACCTCACTCACTACCTATTTGGCCAGACATCGTACAAGCACTCCATGGAAGCACCGAATAGAACACCACCCGAATGAACGTTGTCGATGCTTTACGTCCGCCCATCTAAGCGACCTCATCACACAGAAGCTACACATCGCCGCCCCTTTACCTTCTAGCTCTATCCCATATATTCTATCCTATCCTATAATATACCGCTTAATCTATCATCATCAATGGTGGCGGATTCAACAAGACCTTCACCTGTGCCATGCCCCCCTAGTAGTTCCCGTCCCTCACCCCCATCCCCGTCATCGTCGTCTGCCCCGTCCATCCCGGCAGCACCCCCGGCCTCGGCGCCCCGCCGCGTTTCTTCCGCGCCGTTGAGGACGTACCAGCAGTCCTTCTTGGTCAGCAGCCCCTGCAGCACGCCGCGGTCGCTGAAGAGCACGTAGCGCACGCCGAGCTTCTGGAAGTACGACACGGCCAGGTGCAGGCTGCTGCGGCTGGGAAGCGTCAGGGGGGTCTGGTCCATCCACGGCCGGAGGTCGAGGGACGATCGCGGGTCGGCGAGGGGTTGATGGCTGAAGAAGGCTTCGGTCTCCGGGGGCAGGCTGCGCGGTGCTTGCGTGCAGGCCGCGAGGTTGTAGGCGAGTTCGGCGCGGGAGATGTAGCCCAGGAGGATGGCGTCCCGCGGATCCGAGACGACGGGGAAACCCCGATAGGCGCACGACTCGAGCACCGACCGGAGGGAGGCGATGGTGTGGCCCGTGGCGGTGAGGACGACGAGGTCCTCGATGCGTGTCATGATTTGCCCCGCCGGAATATCGGGCACGTGTTGCGCGCCGCCGCCCTCGTCGCCCGAGTCCAGGAACGGGTATGCGTTGAAGTGGATCCATGACTCGTAGATGCCGCGGCGCGAAAAGGCGTCGCCCACCCACTTTGACAGCATGACGGCTACCATGATCGGCAGGACGTACGTCAGTGCGCCCGTCAGTTCGAACATGATGACCACGATGGAGACCGTCATGCGCGTGACGCCTGCCAGCGTGGCGGCCGCGCCGATGATGGCGTAGACGCCCGGGGTCACACAGGGAACATCCGGGTCGCAGGTGCCAAAGGCGAAAAAGTTGGGGTGGTTGTGCTGCCAGATTTCCATGATCAGGCCGACGGCGCGGCCTGTCAATGCGCCGATCGCCATCGAAGGGAGGATGATGCCCGCGGGGATCTGCAGCCCAAAAGTAATGGCGGCGAGGAAGAAACCCAGTATGGCGGCGAAGAGAAGCAGTACGATGGTGCCGGCTGTAGCGGCTCCGGTCTTGCATAGGCCAAGCTGGTCATCGAGCACGAGGGCGCAGTCAGAGAACAGTGACGATACCAGCTCAGAGGATTGCGTCCGCATGTAGTAGTTGGGGTAGTTGACGAGGGCGGTTAGCAGGGCGACGGCGACGACTTGGGTGAGTGGTCCTGGAAGCCACGATGTCGATTTCTTCCACTGTGCCACTCGCATGTTGGCTTTGATGAAGAGGCCGCCGTATATGCCGCCAAGGATGCCGAGAAAAGCGAACGGTACGACCTCGAACCCGTGCCAACCCGATGCGAATTTGACTTGGTACAGCACTAGCTTGCCTGACCGGAAGGGGTCGAAAGCCTGTAGCACTACAGCTGCCGTCATGGCACAGACGAAGCTTTGCCACATGGTCTTGTCGGGAAAGTAATAAGAGAGCTGTTCGAGACTAAACAGTACGCCTCCTATGGGAGAGCCAAAGGCGACCGAGATGCCAGAGGCCGCCGCCGCCGAAAGAACCTCGCGTTTGCGTGCTATGCGTGTCAGTGTTGGGATTCACGGCATGACTGGTGCCAGTCAACCCACCTTCATTGGTATTGATGTTCGGAAACAGCTTTATAAACAGATAGGCGCAACAACATGCCACATGTACCAAAGGCCCTTCCTTTCCCAACCACATGCCTGATGCGACAGCGAGGCACTATCACAGTCAGTAAGCAACAAGTAATTCGAGAAATCGGTTGAGGGGCATACCAGTCCCAATGACTTTGTAACCAACGTCCAAGCCCCTAAAAAGCGTCGAATGACAAAGCCGCCCAACACCGTCTTTATCTCGGGTATACCGCTATGCCTGGCGTAAATCGCGTACTCCTTTACCAGAAAACCTGCGCAAAGAGCAGATGTGACCTTTCGAGTTGTCAGCCTATAGAGACTTGAGAGGGCCAAGATGGATGACTTACAGATAGTAACAGAAAGAAGAAATATTCTATGAACCACTTCCCACCTGCAGACCGTATGCCGAGGGCCGCTGCCCACGGCTTCCATCCCAAGCACTTGTCCCCTTGATCGTAGCCCCAACAGCAGAACTGCTTGTTCAGGTAGAAGGCGCCTCCATCTGGCCCAGAGGCGCAGTACCCAGTCTTGATGTCTCCCAACCAGTCCGAAGCAACATCTATACCTGCAGCCAGAATGCCGACCAAGATACCGGTGAGTACCAGAACAACCCATATCTGGCTCGAGTCGCCCAGCTGCCGTATATACCCAACTATGCCTGTTGCGCCAGAGTACAGCACCCGAAGCCTCTGACGCTCCTTCGTGTACTCAAAGATCCAGTCGATGGCTGTCAGATCCTCGTAGCCTACTCTCCTTCCGGGACCTTCGACGTACCAGTCGAGCGGTTCGCCTTCCTTCGGCCCGTTTGATGGTACGCCTTGTGGTCTCCCCGGATTGATAGCCTGAAGTCCTGTCGGCGTCGCTGCCACGGACAGAGGTGATAGCGACAGAGGTGATCGAGGTGATCGAGGTGAGCGCGGCGAATGCGACCCCAGGCGATTGCCCGTCAGAGCAGACAGCATGCGGGCCGGCTGCGACAGAACAGTCTGCTTCTGCTTCCGCTTGAAGCTCATTGGTTCGCTCAAATCTTGGCCATTCAAGGGATCCGCCCCCAGTATATCATCGTTGTTGTCGGCATCGTTCGCATCGAAGAAGTGGTCGAGCTCGTCGGTTTCGTCATTGGGTCTAGGGGGTAGCGGCTCGTTTGGCGACCTCGAAGACGATGACGATCCTCCCTCTTCCTGCGGGCTCATGAAGTTCCTACTGCTTGCCATGCTGAAGGCCGACCGGTGCGATGTGCCATGTCGCAATCTCGTCGCTATCTTCTTGATGCCCCTTCGAAATGGGTTGGAGGCTGACGATGCCTCCCGTCTAAAACTGGAACGGGACAAGGGCCCGCTGTGCTGCGACTGCGCCGCTACCAGGCTTATCAGTGCATGCAGTGCCAGGTCTATCGATAAGAGATAAGAGATAAGGCTTACTTAGACGTGCTTGACCTGCCGCTGCAGTGCTTCCACCGTCTTTTTTGTGATGGGCAGGATACTATCGACATGGCATGAAAGCTGAGTGTGGTATAGTCACCCAACGTGGTGGTTATCCCACACAAAAATTGCCTGGAACAACCTCGGAACAAGTGCTTATACCATTTATCCAGTTCGGCATTTTCCCCACGACACGCGTTGGACCAGAACGCGGACATGGCTTCACCGGCTACGCCCACAAGCCTGCAAGTCAAGGAGGGCGTCGACCGCGTCAAAGTCCTCCTAAGGGCCAAGGACGATACATCGCGGTTCTGTGGTCTGACCTGGACCCGGGGGCTTCTGAACAACAGCGAAATCCGTGAGAATCATGACCTCGTCTACGAGCTGTGGACCTGCATCTCGCCCAGGTTCCTCGACCGCTTGATACGGACCGGTTCTCAAGCTCCCTCCCCAGACACCCATGAACGCCATGATCAGTACCTGAATCTGGCCGTCGACATCATCCACGCCTTTGCAGCACTGGTGCCGAGCTATTCGACCTACGATTCTTTTCATGGTCGGATTCCCAATCTCGTCAGGTCCGTGCGGCACAGCTCTGATGAGACAATCGACAACGTCCTGGGACTGTTAGAAACCCTCGTTCAGCAACCCAAGCATTGTGCAGATACGGTCGGTGGTGCCACGATTCTAGCCGATATGCCTGTTGAGGACTGGGAGATTCTAATCAACGTCGACCCGCGACATGTACAAGTATTCAACATATTCTACTGGGCCTGGACGGTCGGCAGTGATCCGTCACGGGGACCTTCCGCCTTGAAGAGTGGAAAGATCAGCCAGGGTCTCCGTCTGTTTGCTTCCTCTTTTGTAAACACACCAGCGACTGGTCCTCTCCTGAACTTCGTGGCTTCTATCGTCGAAGATCTCTATATCGCTGTAAGTTCCGAGGTCCCTTTGTGGTATAAGCACCGATAGAGGTCATGTTGCTTCAGACCATGCCCATGCCGCCGCTTATGCCAAAACGCAACTATCCTCGTCAATACTCCAGTTGATTCTAACGGAAGCTCACAGGCCAGACCGTCGGTGAACGATGCAGACTCGTGGCTGATACACATCGGATGGATGGTGCAGAGGTTGTCTACGGGTAAACAGTCCGAAGAGGGACGTAGCGCATATATCAACTGCGCTGCTGCTCTCCTGAGAGTATTCCCAGAAAAGTCTGCTGATGTCCTGTTCGGCGACGACCAAGACTCTTCAAAGCCTTTTGCGTACATCTTCGTCAGCATGGTACAGGTGGATTTCCACTCCGCCATACATTTGTTGCAATCTGATCTCACCGCCTCGGAGTACTCCCGGATCGCGCAGCGTCTCGCTTCAGCCCTGGACGTACTGACATCATTTGTTGGTTGCCTGATCGAGCGTGCCGACCAACCGGGTGTTGTGATTGGTGGGGGCCTCAGTTTCGTTCCTGAGAAACTCCTCAAGTACCGCGATCTGCTTGTCAGGGCCGTTTCCGATGCAACGGAATATCTCCAGGACCAACAGGCCGCAATATCAGTCGCAATATCAGCAGAAGCTCAGGGGATGGCTCTCAAAAAGATCTTCGCCGACCCTCTCACGGAATCTGCTATTCGCTTCATAGCGCTCTGGCTCCGTGAAGATAATGCCGACTCCCTCACGGTGGAGGCCGCTTCCACGTTGATGGACGTGTTCAAGGCCTTCTACATTCACAAAACAACATCCAAGCAGGAAGCCACGGTCCCTGAGCTGCGCCTTCCAATTCTCGCAATTCTCGAAGTAGTCATCACAACGTCCGAAGGCCGTTCGAGGTTCTTCGAATACGACTGGTTCAACTGCTTCTGGGCCGACTTCCAGCCTACCAGGGGTCCCGAAACCCCTCCGGATGAGCAAAGGGTTCTTCGTATGCTGTCGGCAAAAGGCCTCCATGACGAAATCATGTCACACCAGAGAGAGCTTGCGCCAGACATACTGTCGAACTGGACAAGACTGGACCATTTGATTGAACACTTCATCGAGTTCGAGGATTGAAATGGTACAAGAACCATTTTGTTGCTTAGTAATATACACGAATATCAACCATTTGGACCATCTACGCACTGTTTGACAAAAGTAGAGAGATTTTGCGGTAAGTTCCCTGCCAAGCGGTATATCCCCTCCGTTTGGGTCATTCGCCATTCCGAAAGACATGCGAGTGCTCATGTTTGGTGACCAAGGCGATGAAGGCGATGCCATGGTGCTGGTCTATTTGGATGACTTCATAGGGGCAACTCTCAGCTCCTGAAGCGTATGACTGCATATTCCGTCTTGTTTGAGATTGGAGAGTTAACTTAATCGTTTCGGTGCCTGCGTCTACGTACGTACGTAGCGGAAAGGAATCTCCTGGTATATATGGCTGGACTCAGGGGTCGAGTGCCGTGCATTTCAAAGGCTGCAGTGCAGGGTCGCTCGGAGCCTACCTCCTTGCACCGTACTGGCCTTTCTACCTCAGTCCATGATGACGACGTTGACTCTTACGATACCTCACAAGGCCATAGACCGCGACGCTGCCATCCACACTCTCTCGTAGAGGAATGCGATGCTTCGAACTATCCTGCTGTAGGCGGCGCATCGTGTGGTTCACCTTGGGGTTGAAGCCTCGTATCATTCACTGGACGGAACATGGCTGGAAAATGCCGATAGTCCGGAGCCTGAAACTGACACAATAGGCGGTGCGAATATGTGTACACCGAGTGTCATGAGTCAGGACCTTCGAACCCAGAGTGGCGCTGTGCACGATGAGCAAGTTCATTAGAATGTCTGGTAAACTAAACTTGCAGCCACGTCGCCTCCAAACTCTGATCTGACTGTGGCTGGCCGCAAGAGCTGCACCCAACATAAATTCTCTGTCTTCGCCAGCTTTTAACCATCGCTTCCATCTTTTACCTCGTCCACTTGGAAACACAGGGGATTCGACCATTGTCACACCTTCCTCACATCATCATGATTGCATCCTCAAAAGCTCGTTGTCTGCGATACTCACGGCATCATCGCGTCCTGAATCCATCTTTTTCTGTTCGGAATTGGGATCCTGCCACAAGCCGGATTGATGGAATGCGCTTCCGGAACTCTTGATGACTACCTAACCAGAGAGACAAAAAGTGGTAGCCCACCACGAGCGCAGTCTATGTACATCTTTCGCCATCCAACGACCTCATCCGAGGGTGATCTACATCGTCCTGCCAGTCTCAGCTCTGGCAACTACGACAGAAGCCAGCATCGTGGTTTCCAGCGCTTGAGATGCAGTGCGCCACAACAGTGCAGACAGAGGGCTTGTGTATCACGACGACTCATCTCAACGAAGCAACTCACATAGGGCGATGGTCATCATAATGTTCAAGCTCATGAATGTGTAGACAGATACACCTCAACAGCTCATACAGCATCAAGTGGATGGGTGTCCGATCAATTCATGCTAATCTCCAACGTACAAATTGGGAACCTTCCGACCCATGACAGCAGTATCGAACGACTTCCCTCCCGTCCCCAGACCCCTCCAGTGTATGTCAATGTCACCCTCCCCAAAGTCCTCACACCACGTCCCTGCTGCTGCGGTCAGTGGACGTCAATCTCGAATGGTATCACATACCGCCTTTGCAGCCAGTGCTGTAGGAGTCCGGCCCAGACCCAGCCTCCTTGCCCCAGTGGGATTGGGGAGATTCACACGGCGGATAGGCGAGAGGGCGGGATCCAGGGTTGCAGCGTTGTTGGAAGAAGGCCGATGATGATTGGATCGAGGTCGTTATCGTGCACCCAACGAGGATTGCCTCGGGCGTCGAGTAGACCTCGTTGCAGAAAGACTGAGGCCAGGCCTATCACCTATTCCCTAATTCAAGAAAAGGGGCGTTAGCTTGCCAGCTAACGTCTTATGGAATGCACTATTCAAGTTACCACAGGTTGTCCTGCGCAGCGTTTCCTCATGTCAAGCGCCTAGGCGTCTAGCGGCTCGGGATCACCCTCATCGCCGCGATCAGAAGTTGCATTTGAAATCATCATGCACCCCATCTTTGAGTAGTACTCAACGCGCGGTAGTTGAGTGAGAAGCAGAAGGCTGGATCAAGACCCATGATGATCAGGCTTCGAGGCCTTTGGCGAAAGGACGTTTTCGATCCACAAAGAGATTGTTCTCCATGCCAGAAGTGTCTGATGTCTTTGGAAATCAGAGCCGTGGCTAAGGATTGTGGGGAGGTTATAGCGAGTCTCTCTCTGTGGAGTCTTGCATGATGCTGGAAGAAGGTAATAGCTGCAGGACAAGTGTCAGGCAGTGTTCGTCGAGTGATGGACGAAGAGAGCAGGGTCGACGGTCCCGTATGGAAATGAGATTTTTCGAAGATGGAATTGATGGAAGATGGCAGGGGGGTGGACGATGGCAGTTGGATATAAGATGAGAGCCGGATGGAAGATGAGAGTTGATGAAAGAAGAAATTCAGAGGAGAGATGGGAGTTGGACGGAAGATGGAAGGGAGACAACTGAGTTTATTACAGACGCTCCCAGGGCCAGAATGAGGAATAGCCCCCGTTGACATGTGGCAATCGCATATGGAATCATTTCTATGTCACAGCAAGTGCTCGTCAACCAGGTGCTCGTCACAACAAGTTACCAGATGGGTTATAGACAGCAAGCGCATCTACACCTGTTGGGAGGCTTGAGGGAACAGGATAGCAGGTGCTTTCTGACAGTCTCGCATGTGGTATGACAACATCATTATCATAGCGGATTACAATGTGCAGCGAAGGAACGAACATGATACTTCGAACTAAGCAGGTAACGACTGCGCACCTGCATCATCAATAGTGCTGAGGTGCTCTGAATGGATACTGAAAAGGAGGTCCCAGTCACAACGTACTTGCTGCCAGGCACCAACCGGGTGTATTTCCAAAGCTACGTGGGCCACGATGTCCAGCATTGAGGCATGCACCTTCTCAACTACAGCTTCGGAATCGCGTAGGTCGGCCCCACGATCCAGCAAGCCAACATTCGAGAATCAATGGGATGTAGGTACCGCTTCTCGTAGAACATGGCAGTGTTTTCCAGTTGACAGTCCAACTGCCTCAACATCCCCTACACGCGTTCTTGCAACGATACTCGTTGGCACCTCTCAACTACAACTTACCCACAATCAGCCACCCAAATCGACAGTCGCCCTCGAAAGCCCAGCGATACTGCCAAGGCACACCAAACGGCGAACAGAATTGAGCAAAGACTCCCGAGCCTCTCGCAAAGACCGTAGTCTCAGCGGGGCCGGGGGAAAGGAGGTGCTCGGTGAAGCCAGGAGCAAACTTCAACATGTAGGCGTTTCAAGAGACTGTAGGCCAGCAATTCATGGATCAAGCGGTGGGCTCTTTTTCGTACATGGTTGGAAATGAGAGAGTCTGCAATAGCGAAGGACGGGTGACGGATGTCGCGAGACAAATCTACGCATGAACCCGCCACCTGGATAGTGGTTGCTTTTCTATGAGGATAATATCCCCCATGTGGCCGGCATAAGACGCGCTGTGTTTTCTGGTACTGCGCTATTTGCCACTTCTGGCAGTACGAGCAGGCTTGTATTGGCTGAACTCGCGAAACTCATACCGTCAGATATCATGGCCGCCGAGTACGTATTAGGATGTCCGCTATCAGATGCTTTTCGTGATACGATTGCTTGAATGAACTTTGTGGAATCGGACCTTCCACGCCCGGGAGACTTGAAGCTTAAGCCGACTATGAAAGCGTTACGGGCTTTCGTCAATGTTCTTCGGCATGGATTCCATGACAGGTAGCGATCAAGGCCAACGAATTGACTTGCAGAAAGTTTGTCCGCAGTCGGCAAGGGCAGGTCTCTCGTCTCTGCCTTCAAAGGTTACGTCGGACTGGCCCCGTCATTCAAAAATCGTGGGAATATCATCTGTATTTTCCTAGGATGTGTCAGTCCAACCATCCTATATTAGCTGGAGACGCATAATTACGGGCTGTTGGAGAGTCCTTCGTCTAGGGGCTGTCGGGCAGCGTGGGTATCCCGGGGCTACTTCCGGAAGGGTTCGAGCCATATTCGTGTGTAACGGGGCCGTCGGGGCTGTGACCGGGCGCGCCGTAATCGTCACGACGCGGTAATCTCAGGCAGGTCCGAGGCTGCGTTGATTTGGCATCACTTCCGACGCAAGCGGACATCAATGCTCGCGTCTGGTCACAACGGAACAGCTAGACTCTGCTGGTGTAAACATCGAGAATTTTGATATAGTCTAAGTTGGATGCTGATGACATCGCCAGAGACCGAATGATACAGAGGATGTGTTACCTTTTGCAGAAGACGCATGGCGATATGGTGCGGTTTCCCGGCCCGGAAGACGAGGATTGGAAGAAAGTTGAGGGAATTTTACGAAGAGTGGCACGTCGGCCATGATGGTAGACGGTAATTCCCTACTTAAACTTCGATTCTGCCTCCCCTCGCGGTGGACAGAAAAAGCCGGAGTCCCGGACCAACTGAGTTGTCTCACGACATTGAGATCGGTCATGTTGAGTCTGGCTTTTGCTGTCCATTGCGAGCGAGGGTGAAGCCAGTCTTCATGACGACCCGATCAACGAAGTTGCCGGTTTCGAGACCAGCAGGCGAGCGCAAAAGAGTCGGACCGTGTCTCTCCATAACGGCTACCTGCGTACCCCGAGACTTTTCGGGCATCCCCCGTCGGTGGTCATTCGGAAGTTTTTTGACCCATGATGCCAGTCATCCTCGCGAACTTGCATGTCGCGACCCTGCTTCCACCTTCCAAAGCAGGGATCCGCAACTTCGAAGCCGACATGATCGGCACACATGCCGACATGTGCCCCACCAAACCCCGACCGTGTTCGCGGGGTGTAGCCCGTTGGGGAAGAAGGGTCCGGGGAAGAAGTGCTTATTGGAGCGAAATTATACCGCAAGTTCACCGGCCATGGAATTTCGCCGTCATGGACTACCTATAATTCTACTGAATATTCCACATTCGTAACTCTAGATCTGGCAACGATGGTACAGCACTCGCATTTTGGTTTTGGTCTGCTTGCTAGCTTTTGAAACACCCAAGATGCTCCTCATTACACGCTTCGGCCTGACTTCAGCGATTGCCGTCTTGTTCTCTGCTGCAAGTGCTCAGAACGCCTTCACTGGAGCTGTGGGCTTCGGTGCCATTGCAACTGGAGGCAACAGCGGCGCTACGTATCACGTCACGACTCTTGCGGACTCGGGGAATGGGTCTTTTGTATGTTGACTGGCACTTTCTTCCATACCAAGGGCCAGGGACACTTTCTGAGATGTACCCGGCTTCTGGGAAATGTGCTGTTGCTAATCTATTGCCCAGCGCGACGCAGTCAGCGCCGAGAATCGCAACATCGTCTTCGATGTAAGCGGCTACATCGTCTTGGAATCAGCTGTCTCTCTGTCTTCCTCCATCACCATCAATGGGCAGACTGCTCCCTCGCCTGGGATCGGCATCATGGCCGGGGAGGTCTCGGCAAGTGACAAGAGCAACATCATTATCCGCAGTCCGTTCCCTCCACGTCCCCCAACACGCTCGTCGCTGATCATAATCCAGATTTGAGGATGCGCCAGGGCAACCTCGACTCCGATTCCGGGAAAAGCGCTTTCAACATGGGCGGCGCTACCAAGTAATAACCTCCGAGCCCTTCGGAGACCAGGCGCTGACAGTAACAGCATCATCCTAGACCACTGCTCGGTAGCCTATGGGCAATGGGACAGCATCGACGGCGTCGGCATAACCAACATTACCATCTCGAACAGCATCATCGCCTTCCCCATCGGGCAGCAATTCGGGGCGCACATCGAAGGGAACCAAGCCACCTACTTTGGCAATCTCTGGGTCTCCGGGCACAACCGTCAACCGCTCTCGAAGGCGAATTCCCAGTACATCAACAACGTCGTATACAACTACCAGGCTGGCTACACGGTTGCAAACACCGGCGGCGTCTTCAGCCATGATATCATTCATAACTATTTTATCGCCGGCCCTAGCACTACCAGTGTTAGTAATTATTATTATCAGATCAACGCGGGCCAGAGCGTCTACGCCACAGGCAACTACGCCGATACCGACAGCGACGGTGTCCTGAACGGCGCGCAGGAGAACAAGGTCGGCAGCGCCGTCGTCCTGTCCGCACCCTGGGCGAGCGATTCCGCGACCATGGCAGACCGCTCCGCGGCTGATGCCTACACCTACGTCTTGGCAAACGCGGGAGCGTCGCCCAGAGACGAGGTCGATGCCTTCGCGGTAAGCACGGTGCAGTCGCTGGGGACGGAGGGCGTGATATATACGAACCAGGCGAGTACAGGGTTGAGCAATGGGGGGTATGGGACACTTTGAGAGGGGGTTCTGCTGTGAGGGTTCTGCTGTGGGAGACTTCGTGTTGGCCTTTCAACTGGTTGGGCGGGAAGTCCTCCGGTGATGCTTGTTTTGCTACCAGTGGAAACGTGATATTCAAGGGGGCTAGAGACTCAACGAGATTCTTGGACGCCAGGTTGCGGAGCTGGACTGCAAGTAGGGAGTCGGCTTTCTGGGTCGATGTCGGCATGGGGGATGTTTAGGACTCGTGATAGTTTGGCGTCCAGGGCTAGCTGGTTTGCTTCGTCATGGTCGGAGCCAGAGAGGGCAGAGCCATTGTAATTTGGAAGCTTGCAGCTCACACCCTACGTCCTGTGTTGGGAAATTCTGGTCATGTTCGGCGAGATATAGGTGGGCTCGTTGCAAGAGGGGATAAGTGGGATTGCTTCATTGTTTTGCCGAAGTATAGTCGGGCATAGTTAGCGACAGCGGAGTGAGTTTCCAGTGAGGTGGACGTGAAGGCAGGTTTATAGTTTTTCCAGGGGTCAAGGGGCAAGATTGTGTGTGTCTCCCAGGTGACCAAGGCCGAGCTGCAAGTGGAATCCTCAGGCGACAAGATCTTGGTCGCGGTACGTCACAATTCTTTCAGTTCCTTCTCATGTGCAATATTCATCCATTTGTTCTGAAGCTATTAAATGACAGTCTCACAGGTCGAAATGATCATCTGTCTCGAGACATGAAGCCAAGTTGAACGACCTTGCCTCCCAGGTCTAGGTCTAGAACTTTTAACCAGGACCACGTCCATGCATCGACATGGCTCATCCTTTAAAGACCAATGTCAAGTAATATAAGCCAGTGCACGCTGACAACGCCCTTGATAGATTGCATTGCACACAGAGGATGATAGACATACTACTCCCCCATAGACCAAACCGAAGACCAAAAAGATCGAGAAAATTCTTCCGCAGCCCACGACCCCCAGGCATCCTTTCAGGCATCCTTTTGGGCCTAATTAAGCACAGCCTGCATGCCTAGATTCCGACAAACATAACGAGACATCAGTAGTAGCCTCTACTGCCAACCCCTTGCGCATTCTTAACAACACCAGCGCACTACTGTCAGATTTGAGCCAATCGTCAGAGTAAAGTGTGTGTGTGTGTATTCTGTCTGTCTAGAGTGTCCTTGTGCGACCGTGGCAGTTTTGTGCCAGAGGGGGCTGGATCGGGACGGAACAACTAGGTTCCGTTGTCTACCTGTCAAGGTGCCTTCTACGCATACCTTTAATCCAACAACTACAGGCAGGGGCCGAACCAATTACACTACACGCACTAAACCTCCTAGTGCGTATATATACTGTAAATATACTGAAGGCTTAATGTAATAAACTTTAATAGGCTATTAAAGCTTTAAATATAATGAAATTGTGACGGCCTGCACAGACCTTCCCACATATCAAGTGGATACTTCCCAATAGGGGAAGGATCTGACCAGAGGATCCCCTTAAAGGGGCAACCTCCCACTGTACCTATCTCTCTCTCTCTTCCTTTCCTTTCTAGTCTTGATATTCTCGTTAATAGAGTAATAGCTGCTTGCTGCAGGCCATGTCCCAGCTCCCCAGTATGCTCGCCGTGAAACAATATCAGGACTCCTCCATACCACATCAGAAGCCTTGTCTTCAGGTCACCACTGCAAGGAGTTTTGCCTCTAGCGGTGACAGGTGCAGTGTCTTCGAACACCCACCTACCCCAAGACTTTATTATCCACCTACCATTATCACTGATTCCGTCCAACACACCGTAACAATGAGTACCATTATCATTCCAGAACATCAGGATAGTTCTGAAGGGACTGGAAGACCAGCCCAACCTACCCAAACCTCCCCCAACACCAATAACCTTCCGCCAAAGAAAGAACCAAAGAAATAAATAACCAAGGCACGAGGGGGCCAGAGCAAGCCAAACACGCGATCAAAGGCCGCTTTGACCCACAACAAATCTCCCTCAAACGCTTCATCGTCTCCATCTTCCTCCAGGATCACATCCCAGGACCCACAGACCCAGCCCATGGCACCAATCATGAGCGGTGCTCTGGGCCGATCAGACGACCCCTTGCTTTTCAACCTGGATGCGCTTACACCAGAGCAGCTAGCCAGACTGCAAACCGAACTACACACCCGGATCCCGAGGTCTGAGCCACCAAGGCCCATAATAGAACGACAGTCTGTGCATTTCAGCACACCACAAGAAGAACGAGCCTTTCCTTCTTTAGCAACAGGTTCTCCACACATAACGACCCCTAGGTGGGACTCTCCAGCTTCTATGGCATCAATCTCAAATGTCATGCGACATTCTATCAAGCTGGCAGACCCTGTAAAGCTGAATGACGGTCAAAACCCAACTTTTAAATAGTGAAAGAACAGCACTCAACGCAAGCTACGGACCAACTGGTGGCTCTTTATTACAAAAGAATCAAAATTTGATTGACTTTGTATGCTAATAGAAGGTGATATAGTTATAACATTAGAACCATTCATCTCTAAAGAGAACACCGAGTCACTTACTACCATTGAAGAGGTGTATGACCTTCTCCGGTCCTCTTACAGCAATCCTGACACAGCTGCTCAAGCCAGAGATCAGCTCTATGATCTGTGGATGGAACCGGTGCAAGACTTTTACTCCTTTTGTTCCACATGGGTTCTCTTAGCCAGCAAGGCAGGCCTGTCCCAGACAGAATGGAAGTATGAACTGAACCGAAAACTGATACCACCCCTAAGGATACAAGTAATGGCTTCTTACCTTGACTCTAATATTTCTTTTAATCAATTTTAAAACATCTGTTCTAACAATATTTAACAACTTATAGAGATTAAATAAGTCAAGAAGCAGCACCAAAGCTTCTTAAAAGCTTCCTCTCGCCATACCGTCATTGTGGCACCTGGACCCCAGCAGTTCACCAGAAGCCTACCAACCCAAACTTTATCCAACCAAGCGATTGACACTATCTTCCAACCAGCAAGAGCATCACCTGATCAGAAGACTCTCTGTCTCTCTGCAGCCCCTGAAAGGAAGCACATTGACCGATCACACACACCCCACAAGGCAGAAAGCATTATATGCTACTTATGTGGCAAAGAGGGCCATATCGCTCCTAAGTGTTCAGACAAAAGAACTCCTTATGTACATTTTCTGGAAGAAGACAATAAGGCCTCTTCTGATCTGACCCAGGATGTTACTTCTGACAACGAGTCAGAAAACTCAAAGGCCTAGGGAAAGTCTCCCACCTAGGCCTCTAATATACTATTAATCAACTAGCTCACCACTCCCTTCAAATTCCATCACTTCGATCAGACCTCTTTGGCTTGATTGGCGGCAGTACCTTTGTGATGACTGCAACCATCCGATGGAATAGAATTGTAATACGTGTGAAAGTTTTGATTGATACTGGAGCAGAGGTTTATCTTTTAGGCAGCCGTTCAATCATGAGCCCCTTGGCTCAACGATAGGAACTCCCTCAAAGACATTTTAATGAGCCCGTCACCCTGAATGGCTTTGGCAAAAGACATTCACAAGTTGTCAATACAGTAATTGCAGCAAACTTCCAGATTCAGGGAAGAACCTTCCGGGAAGCCCCTATCCTAGAAGCGGAATTTGGACCCAGCAAGAACTTTGACCTTATTGTTGGCAAGCGGTTCTTGGCTGTTCACAACCTCCTACCAGACTGCCGGCGGAACCGCCTATATTTTCTACCAGAACTACCTTTCTTTACCAACTGGAAGACTGACATCACTAACCCAGCTCGCCAGTGGTTAAGACAACGGGCTATCAATCCTCAGGCTCAGCAGGACATGCTCCAGAGGGATTCACAATGGGAAGATTAAGAGAAACGCCCGCAGAAGATACTACGTCGCCCCCAAGTGCTGGCTACATGGGCAAGAGACCATCATCAGTCCTTACAGGCTATGGAAGACCAGCTAGCCGGACGGGACCGCGCGGCATCCTTGCAAAAGACTTCCCCACGCCAGGCTGTTCATCCCAAGGTTAGCAAAGACGCAATAGTGAACGTTCTGGGCACGGATATCCACCTAGTCTCAGGAAGTACCTTCTTTAGACGGGCTAGTTACCATTAGAAGGGGCAACATTAACGACACAACTACGGAAATGTGTTCTCCTTTTCGGTATATGAGCTTGATCAAGCCATTAATTATTCTATTAATAAAGAGGACTCAGAGACTCAGTACCTGCTATGCAGCAGGCTTCCCCCAGAGGCACAAGATTTTATAGATATGTTTTCTAAGATAGAAAGCAACAAGTTACCCCCTTTCTGCAAGGATATTGACCACAAGATCGAGCTCAAGCCAGGGACCAAGACTCTTTGCCTGCACCCCTTATATAGCATGAAGGCCGACCACCTTATTGCCCTCAAGCAATATCTGACGGAACACTTACGCAAGGAATAGATTATTCCCAGTGGAGCAAAGTATGGGTCCTTTGTTCTCTTTGCCAAAAAGCCAAATAGAGGCTTGCGTTTCTGTGTCGACTACCGCGAGCTCAATGCTCAGTCAAAAAAAGACCGCTACCCGCTGCCATTGATCAGCGAAATTTTGGAACGTCTATCTTGTGCTAAGCTGTTCACCAAGCTGGATATCAGGGCGGCTTTCCACCGAATCCGCATGGATCCAGTCTCTGAGGATCTCACGACCTTCCGCACGCGCTTTGGCCAGTACAAGTACAAGATGCTTCCTTTTGGACTTTGTAACGGCCCAAGTACCTTCCAGCGGTATATCAATAAGGCCTTGTTCCCATATCTGGACGAGTTCTGTACAGCCTATGTGGACAATATCCTGATCTTCTCTTCAGACCCATTGGAACACTGGGACCATGTCCGCAAGGTCCTCCAGAAGCTCCGGGAAGCTGGCCTCCAGGCTGACATCAAAAAGAGCGAGTTTGCTGTCACATCAACAAAATTCCTGGGATATATAATATCAACCAGTGGCATATCAGTTGATCAAGCCAAGATTGCCGCCATAAGGGACTGGGAAGAGC